AAAGATTTAACTACATGAAAGTTGATCTTTATGGTTTGTGTTAGTTATGGAAAGTACATAGTAATTCAAGAATTTATTTTGAAATAAAAACGCATAATTAAACTTTCCGCCTGGCATTAGAAATATTTTGTTTGCAATTCAAGTGCAATTTACAAATAAATTTGATAAATTTTTTGACAATTACGAAAAATTATTCAATTTTTTCAGCATTTTAATATCAGTAGGATATTGACACGGAGTATTAAATATTCTTTCAAAAGCTTTCTCACTACAAATTATTGCGCGAGGAAAAAGTCTATGGTAAAATTACCTAACATAAGGTAATAGAATTTTTATATTTTCTGGTAGTTTTACTATACTTTTTTCTCAGTGTGTTTTACAAATTTAATACAAATTTCTTTTTATAATGATTTAGATGTATTTTTAAACCATCAGATCAAGTGCCAGCTTTTCAAAACAAATAGAAAAATACTTTTTATTTTTGGATATTTATCTTGCAATAAAATAATAAAATTGTCAAATCAAATATATTTTAATCTACTAAAAGTATTTAATTTTTTTGCTTGCCAACTATGGTTATAATGAATTGTTTTAGTTAATTATTAAAAACCTCTGATTTCATTACTCATATCATTTCTTTTTTATTGCGTATAGCGAAAATCGATAATTTAACTGAAATATATTTCGTGACATTACTTTATTAAAATTGCCTTGTCACAATATGTCTGCGATTATCTCTAAAAATATAGTATGTAAAAAGAAATTTAAATCATTTTCTATTTTTATTTCATATAATGAATAATAAACATGGTTCTTGAAAGTAAATGTAATTGACAGAAATTGTAATGTTAAAAAATGATGCTGATTTTAGTAAAATAAAACAACAAAACAAATATGAACTATTACTTAATTTAATACTCATCAGTTTAACAATAATTTGTTCCTTTTTAAAAGTTTGAGGAAATCATTTAATAAACGAGTTTGATGCAGCAATAATTATGACCATTATATTTACAAATAGAGTAGTAAAGTAACAAAAATAGCGTAATATTTTTCTCTCATAACCATTGAGAACATATTTGAAATATAAAAATCAATAAATAGCAACCTGGTATTGTTTAAACGAAGCACCAAAAATTTAATTCCGCAATAAAGAAAGGTAAGTCACTAAAATTTCCTTTCTTTATATTCTCTGTAGTCTTTCTTTCATCAGAAGATCAATTTATTTTTCAAGAAAAAAAGATATAATAATACCATCTTAGTTTCAAAATTTTAAATGACATTATCGCTTAATTTTTTTTTTGCTGGACTATTTAGATTACACAGTTTACTTTAGTTAATTTGAACAACAGAATGCTGTGGCATTTAAAACCGTTATTCCTTCCAATAAAAATACCTCAACAATATAGATTTGAATTATAATATGTTTTAAAAAAACAATATATTTGAATTCTATTTTAAAAAAATATAACTCTTTTAAAATAAATCAAATTATTAATTGACTATTTTTGAAATATGTGAACTCATTCAGACATATTTTAGATCTCTCATTTCTTTAAATGCTATTCACGTGAAGAAAAAAAATTAGATGTTCAGTCAAAATCACACATCTCAATTTAGGAAGTATAATTATTTTGCGTATGTGCTTTATTTTTTACGTATTATTTTGTTGATAATGGTTTTCCATGTTAAAAAGTATTAAAGGATAAATTTTCATTGATGGTAGACTTAAAAAATGGCGCAATTTATTTATTCATTTTTTAATTTCTCACCGATTTTTATTTCAAACTAGAGCTCCCAAAACTCAGATAATTAAGGTTGAATTTGATGAAAACATAAAAAACTGAAAAAGCCTTTTTGTTTTGCTTTACAAGTAAATTTTTGTTGATATTAATTGAAGATCACGTGATTTGTGCATTTAATGGTAAAATTGAAAATCTCGCAAAAATAATATCCTTAATTTCTTACAGTTAGCAATCACTGTGATCACCTTGCATCGACTTTTTTAAATTCTAAGTAAAATAACTGCGTCGCTTTAAATCAAAATTAATATCGTAAACACTTAGAACAAATTTTTAAATCTGCATTGTAAGGAAAAATTTTAAACCATTTATATATTACTCTAACCACTTACATTATGATTCGGGAAACTTACGATGAAATAATGGGCTTTATTCAAGTTTTCAGAAAAAAAATTATGTACAGTAATCAGTGTGAATAATTTCTGATGAATTTAAGTGACTATATAACTGAAATGATTCAGATTTAATTTGTATTGCTTTTTCTTTCAATTTTATCAATAAACATGATTTTTTTTTCCAATTGTAATAAAATATAATTGCTATGAAATATATTTTTTCTTGAATTTTATGAACACTGATATACTATATGATAAAACAGCTGTACCTAAAATTCTGAATTACATAAATAATTTCAGTTATGGTTATTTAACTTTACTATAAGAGCTTATTGTAATAAATTTAATATTTTTCTTGCTCCTTATAATTAATCATCACTTGCTCAAAAATATAAACTTTGGTTTCAACAAATAGAATATTGTCTATGTAATATAAATAATATCATAATTTTAATTTCATAACTTTACATCGAAGCAAAATATCTGATATTTGAAAATGCTAATTTAATAATCATTCTATTAAAATACACATGTCTAAAGAAAAATTACCTTTAGCTGAAGGCACATGTAAAACGAATATTTAAATTGAAACACTTAAACGTTGACGCCATGTGAATCACATTTGAAGATGTCTTGTTTATACATTTAAGTTCACAGTAGACAAAAATACATTAAATATAAGTTTGAAACATATACTTTTACAGCAACAGTTGTTTATTAAATACAGCAATTGACAAATTTTAAGATAACTTGAGCAACATAAAAAAGATTTCTTCCCAGTCATTGTATGTAGCTGTGAATTATCTTACCCATCTTCTCCTTATCGAACTTTAATGCATCCAACAAACCTTCGTACCACATATACTATCCCCTACTTACTATTTTCAGTTCTTATAAAATTTAGAATTTATATAATTAGAAATAAATATGCCACTCTTTATTTGCATAGATTTCATTCTAATGTATCGAGAATATTTTCTGTAGCTCCCAATAATATAAATTTGCAAATTTTTGCTATAATATCTTACTTAACGATTTATAAAATTTTAAAAGCTGTTAATTTTGCATAAAACTTTAAAGTCTGTTGGTCTGCTGCATTATGCATGCTCAATTATAAAATTTTGATTGATTTTTGGATTAACTGTTGACCATGAATTTTCATTTTAATACTTTTTTATTGTTTAGTATTAACTTTAACTAATTCAAAATAAGTGAGAAATTTTATATTTAACATTTATGGGTATGAAATATAGCATGGAACACAGACTTCTTTTTTTTCGTTTAAGGAAAAAATTTTCAAACATGGTTCACTTTCTTCCAAACAATAATTTTTCAATTTCGCAATTATTTGCTGTTATTTAGAAATAGGTGAAACTGTAATTCGTCGTTGAAATTTCATACGCGTGAAGACACATATAGCTGAAATTCAAGTTTCTTTTTAAGTAATATAAAAATTAGACGAATTACTGAGCATAATTTCATTTTGAAATATTTTCAGCACTTTAATATTGTTTTATAGTTCTGAAACATTTTTTTAAAATTTTCTTTAACTCTAGTCACCTTTCATGCTTTATTAAAATGCAATTGAAAAGTAAGAACTTAATTTAGGTCTAGTTGTCAAAAGCAACTTGTTGTAAATTTAAAAAAAATACATTGAAAATATTTTTTATCAAATTATTTCGAGATCCTTAGAAATAAAGTTGTAACAAGATTTGAAGGTAAGTATTCAAGTATTATTTCGTACAAACTATATCTCTAACATTTTGTGGAACACATATTTATTCAATGTGCACCGCGCAAATCCTTAACGTTGTCATAACTTAATCTTAAAAACATTAACTGTCATTTTTTCTCCTTGAGCCCAAACATCTTGTTCTTCTCTTTATCTGAACATCTCGGAACCAGGAGTTCAACTTCAGAGGATTTTGGAATCAGTCAATCTAATGAAAAATTTCAATTGTTCAAAATGCAGCAAAAATTTTCATAAAAAAGTTCTGCCTAATCAATATGAAACAGAGATTTATACGCAATGTCTTTTATAATTATTGCTCTTTATGATTATTTTTTTAAAAAGAGCTTAATGATTTTAAGAGTATAAAAATTGCAAAAAGTTTCAATCATTTCATGTTCTATTCACTTGAAGCATGTCTTAAGGAGTTTCATTTTGAAAAGGATTTCAAGAATGAACTCAATTTCAAAAACAATTAGAATTATTCCAATTTATAACAGTTGATTTTAACTCAATTTGGCTAAAAATTATTAATATATATTTGCTAATACTATAATTCTATCGAAATATATTATCAGAGTTAAATACATAAATATCTAATTTATTGATTTCAATCTATCTTTTAATTCCTTTTGAATTGTATTATTTTGAAATATATTTAAGGAAAACAACATATTCTATGCTGAATACATCAAAACAAAAAAATAATTATGCACACGAAATGCTACAATGCCTTGCGAAAGATTTTTTCCTCGCCAAACAAAATTTTAATTTGTCATCACAAAAGTATGACAAAATAAAATGTCAGATTATAAGGCAATATTTTTACAGAACAATTCTTTCTGACATCATTTCTTAGACATGAAATCAGTTTTCTCCGCTATCCCATCTGCTTTATAACCCATGTTTTTCAATGCAAAAATTTTATGAGGATTTGTGACAGTGACTTTCATGCTAAAAGAATATTTAATGCTAATAGATATCGTATTATTAAAAATCGTATTATTTAAACTCATCTTTAGATAAAATTGTAATTTGTATTTTGATATAATGTGCTACTTCTTATGTGATGTATTCTAAAATATGAGGGAAAAATTATGCATACCTTTTCCACAATCAATCAATCTTTCAATCATTCAATCTTTCATTTTCTTCTTCGTCTTCTCCGCTATAAAAAGAAAAAAAAATTACTCTTATTAAAAAAGGAAAAATAGCATTGATAGAAAAAAAATTACTGTCAATGCTATTTTTCCTTTTTTATATGTTATTATGTTTACAAACCTTAGTGGGCACCTTATATATCATCAAACTTTATTCAATTGATAATTTAAAATGTTTTGATTAAATTAATTCCTTTTAATTTAATTATTATCGAAGGATAAGTTTCGACAAAAAAAATGAAGTGTCAAAAACATTTACTTACTCTACGGTGTCTTGTTTTTGTTATGAATTCAACGACCACCAAAACACAAGCACTTCCAGTTCCCGCTAAAAGAACTAAAAATATTCCTCCTACATTAACAAGACTGAGCTCGTTTGTTACTTTTCCAACTTTTTTCTCCTCTGGAGGACATGGGTCACCCGCTTTCCACCATCTCTCTTTCAAAGCGTGCAGGACACCATCCTCTTGTAGTCTTAAAATAACACTTGAGAAAGGAGTTGTATAAGGTGATCCTGCAATATTTAAAAAAAAATAATGATTTTTATGGTTATCAGGGATCCGAACGAAATTTTTAAAGGTAAATATGATGATATTTAAAGTGTCCAGAAATACTCGACACAATTTGTAAAAGTTTAAGAATTTTGTTTTGGAATTACATATCATATATTATGTTTTCCAAGTCCATCGCTTCTGGTTTTAGAGAAAAATTGTTGATTCTATTAATAAATCTATTAATTTTTAAGTAAACTTCAAAATAAATTATAGCATTTCTTAAAAAAACTTTAATTATTTAATTTTAATTTTCCTGTATAATAAACAGTTTATTTTTTATTTTTTACTAATTTTTTTGAAAGAATGGAATGGGCTCTGGCTTATGAACAGCCACCCTAGATAAATACAGGTAATACGTGTAGTTTTTAAAATTATGAAAGGATGTATGAATGAAGGATAAAGCCTGCAAACGGCTTTCTATCCATGTATGCAGGCTCTGATTTATAAACAGTCACCCTATGAAATGTGAGATGCTAATTAAATGGTTTATTCCTAATTTAAGTCTGCAATTTAAACTACAACAATGATTTATTTTGACTGTTTTTTTTTATTTATTTACTTCGGAATTTTAAAAAAAAATTATTTAAGATTTTTTATTTATTTATTTATTTTTCCATTATTAATTATATTTTCTTCCTATTAAGGATTTTGTTAAATAAATTTTCCAAAAAATTTTAATTACTAGATTTTTCTCATAGATGTCAGCACTGAAATGTTATTTGCTTCATATTTTTTCGACCAAATATATTTTTAAAAGTATTTTGTACGATTTAAGCTATAAGCACTGCTTAATTCTGTTCTTCGCGAAATTTTGTCAACTGTAAAATTAGAATATCAATTTATAAATTTTTTTTTTACTTTTGCTCCACGCCAGTAAGTTTATTTTCTGCTTTGTTTTATTTCAAATTCTATTTCCATTGCATTTTTATTTTTTAGCGATATAGACACATTATAAAGAGTAATTTGTATCTTGGAATAATTATACTTCATTCAGAAATATCGCATTTATCGTAATGAATGTGTCCTGATGAAGACCTTTACCTTTTCGCATTAAAAGTTCTTCAAATTTTATTTTATTATTATTTTTTTGTGTGTATATATATATAGAAATTATTTAATTAAAAATTTAATTTCAATTAATATGAAGTTTCGAAAAAATATTTTTTAAGTATATTCCAATTTTAATTACGCTAAAAATATTAACCAAAGTAATTAATCTACTAATATTTTCTTCCACTTACATATTTAAAAAAATTACAAATTTTGTTAATAATTCAATTTTTAACTAAATCAACTGAAATCAATAAGTTATTATTTTTTTTAAATTTTTCAAAGACAATTTCTTTCAATAAATATTCATTTGAATCTTTTATTTGCCAGCTTAATATATCTTACAACTTAAAACTTCCTACTACATTAAAACTTCTTATACTATTATATTACTATTATATTAACGCTTCTTACATGTAAAGTTACAAAGCAGCTTGATGAACTTTCGAACTAATTCCATCTATCTCCTGTTTTAAGTATCTGATTCTTTTGTATTAAAGTCCAAAGCCTCCACATGCATTTCCAGCATTCATACTTCATGATTCATACATTCATGCTCCCTACATTCATACCTCATACATTCATACTTCATACATTCTTACTTCATACATTCTTACTTCATATATTCATACTTCATACATTCATACTTCATATATTCATAAAGCTTCATAAAAATAATGTATAAATTTGTCGAAATAAATATGGATACATAAATGTAATTTTTCTAAAACCACTCTTTCGCAACGAAATTTTTGTTCCATTGATAATTGTTAAAAGGTAATGTTGTTGTTGCTGTCGTGTCCATGGATCTTCATATCATATCAAAGGTCTGGACTAATGTTAAACAACATAAATTGATTGCATCGCTTGCAATACTAACACAAGATTGGTACGTTTTGACTATTTGTAACGGAAGCATTATTTATTTGCAAGTATTAGAGCTACAATATATTAGAGTTATCATGCATTTTAAATTAGAAGGATACTTTAGTGTTATGCATATCTAAAGTAATTTTACTTTAAAGTTAAATGTGCATTTAATAATAAACACTTTATTATTACTATAGATGCACCATATCTGACTTACTCCTTAGGTTCTTGCAAAAAATATTTTAATATGTCCGGGTTTATATTTAGAAAAGTTAATCGGTGTTTTTAATAACACATGACATTGACTTTTCCCCGGAATTGATTATTTTTGAGTTATCAATCATTTCTTATTTATTTAAGAAATTATGCTAGGATGATTTTAGTTAGACCGGAAAAATAATTTAATATGGAAAAAAAAATGACAAGAAATATAAAATTCCTATCTTGTAATCTACCACAATTATAGCATATGAAGCATTAGAACATGAAATTCTTTGTCATTTTTTTTTTCTTTCCTCAGATATGTCTCTTTTTAACAAAAACTTATTATAGAAACAATCTTTACACCTTTCTCTAACCTGAAAAGTTTTAAATTTTCTAGTAATTAGTTAAGTTAGTAGATCTGGTTATTAGGCTACGTTGCAAAGCTGTACCATGGGCTGTCTGCATGGTCTGGGAAACATTCCGGAGATAAATGCAAAGAATTTGCCATCGCAATTTGATTCTCTGTAGATGGGATGGCTTCTCTACTTTGGTAGTCTGACGACCTGTGATTGACTTACGATAGAATAGTTTAACAAGGCTAGATATCGTGAATCCTTGGTCCCTAAGCGGGATAATCAAAGTGGTCACCCACCCACTAATTGACCGCAGGTATTGATGCTTGACTTCGATGTTTTACTTGGAAAGGTGTCTTTACGATCAGTTCACTGCGTTATTTTGGTTAATAAAATCCCCAAATATAATACAAAAATAGAATGTTTTTTTAAAAAAAGAAAATGATCTTGCAACGGAAACTTTAATTTTGACTATATTTTATTTAAATGCATACTAAAGATAATAACAGAGATTTAAAAAAAATAAGGACTGATTTCGACATATTTTTAAAAACATGTTTTTAATTTTGCTTGTTTTTGAAATAACTCTTTCTTACAAAACCAGTTTATCAAATTCAATTTAAAATACAATTTAAAATCAACCCATTTAAATGAACAGCAATTTCTCGTTTCATCAGAGAAATATTTTAAGAATACATTTTCAAAGCATATCAAAAGTACTGTTCGAATCGGGATTTCAAAAGACCTTAATCAGTTTTAAGTAAAATGTTGATCTAGCCAAAACCTCAAGCATTGCTTTAGGCATAGGCCTGGCGTGTTTCCTAATTAGAAATATCCAGAGGGGAAAGGGGTGGATACGTACGTATACATGACGATGCGAAATGATACTATCCTATCACTCGTTTGCTATTGGAAATCAATGACGTAAATCTAGGTGGGGTGAGGGGTTTTACAAGGTCCCCAGAAGTTATTGATTGGGTCAGCAGAAAAGGCTATAGTTTTATTTTTAGATCTTCAGATTCGTTTTCATCTTCATGAATGCAGATAAAAGTTTCAGAAAATATTCTGATTAAGGCACGTTAAAGGAAAGATAAAACTTATTTTAGAAACTTCAGAGTAATCAATGTACTTTGAAATAGTAATGAATTGAGCAGAAGAATTTGTATCCTTTTAGAAAATGAGATAGAGTTTTCTTGGAATATGATTACAATTCCTATAAATGTGTGCATTTGAATTAAACTATTTTATATAATAAATTGCTGTATACTCGTCTATACTTTTCTAACTTATACGTCCACATATTTTTCCTTTTTAAAACTTATTTAAATGAAATAATTTAAATATATGATTTTGGAAATAATTTTTAATTTCAAAACTGTTAATATTGTTTATAAATGTTTGATTACTTATTTAAATTCCTAAATTCACAAACTACTTTGTTTAGTTTCAAATACTTTAAAATATTTTAGATAAAAATGCGCATATATCGGTTTGTAGTTCTAATGCTCAAATATGTAAATTAAAATTGTAGTCTTCTAAGCCCTTGCAGATTGATTTATACATATATAAATACTTTTTAGAAGTTATTTGAATGAAATCATTTGGATATTAATCTTTTATAATAGAAACTTTACTTTAAAATTATAAATATTTGATTAATTCTTTAAATTATTTCATCTCATACACTTTTCAACATTTTATTGTTTATTTTCTAATACTCTGAAGTATTTATGGTACAAAAGCTCAAATGCCAGTTTGTAATCTTCAGTGCCGAAAAAAAAAGGAAATTAAAATTATTGTCTTCTTGCAGGTCATCCTTTTAGAAGCAATTTGTTTGTCATGCACTCATTACTGACAAAAATTTTATTAAAATGTTCAGCCTATGTGTAGACTTAGATTACGAATGAAACCGTTGAAATAAAGTTTGTTTATTATTTGTTCAAATTCATATGACATATCTTTTAGCTGGTTTAGGCATTATTTTGCATACTTTGCATTTACATACACTATACAAAATACCAGATCTTATTGCGGTGAAAAGTATCGAAACTCAGGGTACCGGTACATTTTACCGAAAATTCCGTTTTTACCGTAACATGTTACAGAACAAAAAAACTTATATTACGTAATTTTTACGGTAGCTATTACTATAAAATAACTGAATTATTCTAATTAAATGAATATCGCTGCAAATATTATGGTATAATATTTTATGGCAAAGCTGGATTTCTCCATAAAATGAATTTCGTGGATAAAAAACCTACAGTGCCGGTACTTTATATCGTAATTAGATCAAGATTTTTTTGCAGTGTACGGAAATTTAATTATGCTGAATGGTGAGCATCGATTGAATTTTATTTGTTGGTACTAACTTAAAAATATTTTACATTTTCAGTAAATCACTATAGCTGCTCCGTTCAGAGTTATGATTTCTTCTTAGCACTTCTCATACCCTATATTGGTAGTTTTCTTATGTCAGTAATATTCTACAATTTTTACTTACTGGTCCTTTTTTTCGTGATATTTAAGTTTAATGGAGTAGTATTGATAACACAATTTCCACCCCAAACTTTAGAGATGCGGATATTTCAAATTTGATTCCTCAGGAACTATTCTACCAATTTTGCACAAATTTTGTATTTTGCCATGTAAACATACTTATGTAAAAAATTTTGTACCTTATTATTCAAAATGCTTTCGACTATTAAAAATAAATATTTACTGAAATTCATTTTTACGTGGATTTTTCTTTGGACAAACAAGCTCTAGAGTTGTGAGCAAAATTTTTTCAATTCGCTTAAGAAGTTCTCAAGATATGGTGAAATACGCAAAAAGTAAAATTAACATTATGGGGTACAAACTTTGAATCGCTTTCCTGGTCAAACTGCGGGGACTATATTTCTCAGATTGCGGCTTCCTTTTTATTCTACCTTTTTTGCGGCTACCTATGTGAAGGGTCAGAAGTCCAAATCCGTTGAAACAAAGTATGTTTATTCAGAGAAAGTACTTTTTAGTGTCAGATTTCGTAATTTAAAGTATCATTAGCACTAATTTATTAGCATAGTTGAGGTCACTACCTCGAATCACTAAGATTGAGTCCCTAGATCATGCAGATCCGATCATTAGATCAAAAGTCATTCTGGATGGGTTTTTTTCTGTTTTTTTTTTGGTCACACTGTACATTATTTTTTTCAAAGCAATAAAGTTAACGATTTTTGTAAATATAAATATAACATTACAGTTGCAGTTAATACTTTATTTTGTAATTAACTTATTATACTTAATCTATAGTATAAAATTTGTTTCATTTTCCGCACTTTATTATTCATTTCTTTATTTGTTACTGTTTAGGACGTTCGCTTGTCTTAGATGAAGCATTTTCTGAGCAGCTCGGTTTTTTCTGCAATTGTCGATTGCATTTTGAACGGAAATGATAGCATGAAAACAAATTCGAACTATACAAAGTAAGATGTATTATATATGATGAAGAAAATAATCAGTGATTTAACAATGGATAAACATAAAGCAACATCCAATGAAGACTAAATGCCTTTTTAAAAAATAATGATTGAAAAATAGCTATCCTAAAAATCATGTTTTGATCTAAACTTGAATCCTCAAACATTGTTTTGATATTTTTTTTAAATGACTCCTACACGGAATAATACCATGATCTAGAGATCTCAATGAAGGATAGGACTAAGGGGATTATATTGTATTGAAGAACTAGTCACGTTTTCAAGATTCTTGGTTGCTATGGAGATAATATGTTATCTTTGTAGATGCATCAAGAGGCTATTTTGTGACTTGACACGGAAATCTCTGCCTTTAAAAGAAAACTTTGACATAAGTTTAAAATGTCAAATATGAGATATATTTTTCAGAAGAGTGATAGAAGAATATTTTTTCTTTTAGTATGCAAAAAATTAGGTATTTATTTACTTCCTAATTGTAAATGAAAAGAATGGAATTCGTGAAGAAGTAGGCGATGAAGATACTTTAAGTTATTAATTATATTATATCCTTATTATTTATTATATTTGCAAGGTTCGCACTGCACTAACTTGGTTGGCACTGTTTGGTTTTCGTAGATTTATTTTTTATCTTTTGGGAAAATATATGTTCTAGGTTTTTCATGTCCACATACTTTTAAACGAGATAAACTTCAGCACCATAATCTATAATGAAGATTTGTTAAAGTCATTAAAAATCATTTTAACATAAGCATTTAATAAAAAAGCAGAACAAGCTGCAATAAAAAATGCACACGATAATTTTACAACTTCTTGGAGTTACTGGGCTTAATTAATTTTCCAGACTGTTTTTTTTTTTCATCAGCAATGATTTTCAATTTTTTCACATAATATTAATACGAGGAATTTTTATGACTAACTTATTCATAATGACTGCCTAAGTGGCAATTTTAATGTAAATAAGATTGCTGATAAGGAAAAAGAATTTGTGACATCTTAAGAAACGTATATAGGTTGGAATTGCAAACCAATTCATCCCATTAGAGGACAAGAGAACAAACGCAAACTGAGGGTTTTGCTACCTATGCCTAGAAATATTTTGACGTTTATGAAAGTATTTTTATTGAAGAAAAAAAATATTTAACTAATTGGTAACCATAGATTGCAATAATAAAATCACAATTTCTCTCCATTTTAGTTATTGTCAATCAAAACATCATTGACAATAGAAGGGGTTGCTTCAGTGATTCGGTATGAACATTAGTGTCCCCATTATTAAATTTTATTTTATTTATAACCGGCGCTGAATAGTCCACCCATTTCTGAGCTTGAGCTATAAATGATCAAAACCGTAACTATGTAATTTTGAAGGTTACCTGAAAGATAACTGAAATGCTGGATTGGAGCAAGTCTACGTGGAGGACTTTTTGATGCAGCTAACCCGTACTCGCGTTACATAGAGGTGAGAAAAACGGAAACCTCCCATGGTTATCTCGACGGCGAGGAGATTCATTTCCTTTATTCGTCTACCACTGAGGATATTTTACATCAGCATTGCGGTAAGTGCGAGCCACTAGCGGATTTCTTATCGACCAGCCACAGCTGGGATTCCAGCCTGGATCACCTGATAAGAAGGCGACTGCTCTATCTCTAAGCTACCACTGCTCCTATCATAAAATTGTTAAACCCACTTCCTCACTCATTGGATCTTTGCCGTAAACCTCTAATAAATTCAGCTGGCTTAACTCTTTTACCGTTTAAAATCCACAGTAGAGTAAGCACTTAGCAGTCGGGGAATTCGGCAATAGTCTAAAACATTTTTAAAGCTCATAAAAGCATGCAAACACAATACAATCTAGCTGTGATGGGAGAAGTGGACAGACACTATCCAAAGACATGAGTGCGCAATAGCGTAAAAGGGAAATTGAAACAGCGGTATTGGTTGAACGGAATGGTGCCTTCGTTTCAGACAATCCTCGTAATTCTTACTATAAAGTGAAATATAAAGTTTAATTAGCTTTGAAGAGACTAAACTTTTAACCATTCATCTGACTAAATTATATTTACTATATTTTTAGATTGTAACTTTCTCCCCTTTTCCAGAGGGTCAAATACCCGAAATCAACGAAAAAAAGGAATGCATTATTAAAAATTCTGATCCAAACAACAATATAAAGCACCGACACTTCGGGTGCATCATTCGTAAAATCCACTTTTACAGTACAATATTAAACCGTAATGTTTACACTAATATTTAATTAATTCGAGTGATTCAGTGATTTTACGGTAGTTATTCCTGTAAAAATTACGGTATACCAGATTTCCTGTTCCACAACATATTTCGATAAAATGGATTTAACGGTAAAAGGTACCAGTACTCTGTTTCGGGTACTTTTTACCGTAATAAGATCCAGAATATTTTACAGTATACTTACTCAGTAAACGCTCATTTTAGTATCTGATTTCGTATGTTAAATACCCTCTGCAATAATTCACTAGATGATAAAAAGTTAAAGCCTAGAATCATAAAGATCGCATCTTAATACGAGGCTATCTAATGGACAAATTTAAGTTATTAAACTATTTTTTATTTTTTTATTTTGAGTTCTTTATAATAACATTATAAACGATAAAGATTTTAATTAACCATAACAAATCTAAATAATATAATAAATAATCTGTTTTTTTTTTGAACTTGCTTTTCAATGAATAAACTGAATTGAGGATGCAATTTAACTTTACCTTGAGGAGTTGCAATTCCGTACCCTTTTGTGTCAAGCAATCCATCAATTTGAGTCAGCTCACAATTTCTTTGTGTTTCATACTCAATAGACGTGGACTCCATCAAAAATGCATAATCCCCGGCTAAAACTCGTTGTTTTCCTTCTTTGTTTGATTTTGTAAATACTGACGGTCTGGCAGACTCCATAAATGACCACATTTTCTTATATACAGGAATTTCAGAGTTCTAAAAATTAAAAAAAAAAATACATACGTAGATATTAATTATTTGTATATTTGCAAATAAGAATAAAAAAATGCATTAAAAATATTGCATTAACATATCTGGCAAAAAGTATTTAGAAACATGTAAAAAATTTGCACAAATATTAAATACCAATACTTTGATCAAATTTTCATTACGACAGCTTTTTCTACCTCTACGAATTATGATTTTATTTTAAGTTAAAAAATGTTTTTATCTTACCTAATATTCCCGTATATTACTCACGATATAAAAATTAAGTAAAAGATTCATTTTTAATTTATTTTATTTAGAAATTTTAACCTTGCTGTTTTCTTGCATAATAAAACAATTTCTCTACACACTGTTCAATGAGAAAGTAAAAGTGGCTTATTTAGCCGAAAACTCTTCACAAACTTCAATGATCATTAAATTTGGAGCATGGAAATTTTTCAATCTTGTGCTTCAGAGTTAAGAGAAAAGTACATCTGCACATTTCTTAGATAATGTGGTACCTTTTTTAGAAAAAAAAATTAACATGTGTTTAGGTACAATTAATTTCACTAAAATATCAAAATAATAGGTTAAAACAACAAATATAAAATTTTGGAAAGGAAATATGTAAAATGGGAAAAATATGTCTCACACACATTGAAAAAGTACTTCAGGATTCAAAAATCCATTCTAGCCCTTCATAACATATCATAGATTATAGTATATATTCATATTATAATAGTATATATTTATCATATTATATATTATTATTAACTGAGATGTAATCATATGTAGTCTAAGATATATAAACATTTAAAATTTTGGCAAAAAAAACCTGTTTTTTTATCTGTAATTGAAATTGATATATTTCAACTAGTGTTGATGAAATTAGTTGAATGTAGTAAAACTTGATCTGATTGCATTTGGTTGAGAGAACTGGTGTTTTGTGATATTTCTGTTATTTCTGAATTCGATTATATTCTGATATTTCTGATAAATATTATTATTCTGATATTTCTGAAAAGAATATTTCTGTTTCACAATCTTATTTAAACAAATTTGGACAGCTGAGCTGTTCTTAAAGTTTTAGTAAAAGTGTCGGTCTAGAAAATGTCTAGACTGAAATATTTTGTTTTTAATGATTTGAAAAGAAATAAAAATTATTGCTGCAGTTTAACACTGTAATATCTGGTACAATAACTGAAAATATTTTATTCATGTTTAGTTTACAAGCATATCTTTAAAAAAAATTATGAATTAAAATATTTGATATTTTGTGTCATATTCATTTCTTAGGCCTATTAAATCATTAGTACTAAGCTCATAAACCTTAAAAGTTCGTAGTTGCGGTCTTGTTATCCTTTTTTATCACGGTGATTTAGTTAAATTTTCAATCTCTTCTCAAATTAATTCTTAGATTTATTGAGAATTATTATTTTATAGGTTAACATACATTTTTTTAATTTAATACAATGAGTAATAAAATACAACATATTATAAAATTATGTGCGTTAAGAAGCACAACATCTTTCATTTACTTGTTTCTGTCTTAGAAACACATAATACTAAGCTTCCTTTTTATTTACATTTTAGAAATACTACAATTTTAAATATATGTGCAATGGTTTTAAAATTTATATAAATTAAGATTAAGTTTATTTTTTATAATTCTAAATTGTTTGAAAATTTATTTGCGTCACTTTATGTAATATTGTGTTTGCAAGACAAAATGAAACTANATATATATAATGTCTGCCTGTGAATGCGTGTGTGTATGTGTACTTTATAGACTAATTAACAATCCAACCGAAATCGATGAAACTTAAGATACAGATAATTTGAATCACGAACACGAATCACGAGGAACGTCACTGTCGAAATTAGAACATTCCTTCTACGACGAACCGTTCGAGCGGGATGAGCAAAATATGAAGTAGAATTTTCTATTTTGTTAATCGCTAGCCATCGGTTAAAATTTAACTATTGACGAATCAATTTGTTTACATATTAAACACCTCTTATTTCATAAAAATGTACACGCTTCCTAAAATAATTAATTTTTTTCGATGAGAATTGTGAATGATTTAGTAGCACATTTGCCGCTCATAGAATATCAAAACTTATATTTCTGCTATCTATTCATACTTTACATTATATTCTCACCTTAAAAAATGATTTTGTTGATCCAGATTGCACGCATCCATATTGAATTTTAGTTTGCTTTGAAAGATCATCCGCATTTTCTATGGGTGATTTCATTCTCTCAACGGTAAGAAATGCAGCAAGATTTGCTGTATAAGATGATATCATTATCAGTGTAAAAAACCACCAAGTAGCAGCAACTACACGTGTAGAAGTTGCCCTGAAAAAAAGGTAATATCAAATATGTTGAAGATATTTAAATTTTTTAAGAACGTGAAAAGTATAAGAGAAATTAAATTACTAGCTACTGTATTAGTATCTCTAACATTTACATTTACGTAACAATTATAGAATAGTTACATTTTATTTTGCTTATATTTTAATGTTTCTTTTCACTTAAATGCTTAGTATCAATATTTGGAAAACTTAATTCTAATATTGCATCAATCATGTACTTTTTAGTTTTAGTCATTTTTAGGGAAACAAAACACTTACCGAAAATATTTAGTTATCATTATGATGAAAATTAAGGGCATTAATTCAAAAAACAAATATTTTCTTTGGATAAATGCTATAAAATGTCTAAATAATAAGTTACCTTAAAGGAATACGTTGCTTATTTCATTGAATGGTGAAACATTAGTTGCAAAATGTGTCAAAATAGTTCAATAATTTAATTGTATAGGACTAGGTGAAATATAAGTAACATTTTCAAATTATTTAGGAGAGAGTCTTTGGTTAAATCTGCATTAATTTCCCAGTAAAATGATTTTTTTGTTAATTGGGCTATTATCTAATAGCTATTCCAGAAACATTTAAAATACTTTTCTGGTAGCAATAGTAATTGAAGCAATTTTTTTTACGTTTGGTGAAAGCGATATCATTTCAATAATTTGTATACATTTTAATACTTATACATATAGGTTGCTTATATTTATCAGTACATGCACTGTAAAAATTACTGACATCCTGATTGCAGCCTCCACAAAACTCATTTTTACTCTAACCTTTTATACAGCTATTTTTACAGTAATATTCAATTGATTACAAAAATTCGGAAATTTTATAGTAAATATTACTGTTAAAATTACAGTATAACATATTTATTGTTTTGAATAAGTTTAAAGTAAAAATCAATTTTACGATAATAAGTACCGGTACTTTCTAATGCTCAGTATTTTTTTTACAGTGTAATCTGTCTTCAGTTGTTCTTTTATTATTCCGTATTAACGAGAATCAAAAGAAAATAAATATGTATGTTTGAACATACCTCGGTGTTAGCTCTGAGCTTTGCCTCATTAAAGATCCAACTGCAAACCATAGGCTATTTTGCATTGAGAAACAGTTTCTGCAAGCATGTATTGTGATACCCTGACAAGGATGAGGTTTCGCCCACTCATATGGACTAAACCTTGAAACACCATAGAGGAGCAGGCTCACGCTCATGTAGGCTGCTGCCATGTACATCCATACCTCCAGACTTAAGGGACGGAGAAACCAGAAAAGCTTAGGAACCTTGCGAGTTGGACGCCTGAACAATATACTTATCCCTAGATTCATAAAGGGCATTGTGAAATCAACAACTTGTTCTCTTTCGTATGTGATTGTAAAATCAGCAATGGCAAGATCAGCCTCCTATGAAAAAGGCATTTTATAAATATAATATGCAATAACGAAGAAAGCAAAAAATAAAGTGAATAAATAATTAGCGTACTGCAAGGTTGTGACATTTCAATTTAAAAAAATCTGGTTAATAAAAACGAAAATATATGGTTTTTAAACCATTAATTTAGTAATTTTTCCGTTCATATATTAACTGTTGACAGGAAATTATAGTTTTAAAAATTGTTTTTATTAGAATCCATCTTTTTAGAAAGAAATGCAAAATTGAAAAGTAAATTTCCCGAATAAAAGATTTTTATGTCATGCTTTTTAAGTTATAATAAAATTACCAAATTTTACTCTATTTACCAAATTTTATCACATGTTATAAAACCATATGCGTTTCTTAACTTTACCGAAATCATTACCAAAATGCTTAATTAACGATTACCGAGTTTTTTTGAGATCCCATAGAGCCATACACATGGTAAATTTTACCTTAATCTGGCAGTTTTGATCATTTGTTTTAATTTAGTGTATATAGTTTCTTAGGTGAGTCAAATATACCATTTAATTTTTAAAAACTGCTTGTTCCTTTTTTTCACATATTAGCATTAAATGAGTAAAACAAATAAGCATAATTCCTTTATTATATTTTTGTAATACAATTGTGCTTATTAATTATATGTGGTAGATTTATTTACTTGGAGGATTTAAATATTTTATTTAATTCCTGCAGTGACCCCATTTCTTAGTAAATCTTAGAAATCTAAATGTTAAATGGAAAATTAAAAATAATATTTATAATCTCATTATGTCACGATATATTTCCGCTTCAATGTTTTATTCATCTGCATTACCGCCCTAACCACGCGTATTACCCATTCAAATTTATATCACTCGTTCGTTATATGTTATGAAGATAACAAAGCATGCATTTACTAACTCATAAAAAAACAATGCATGTTACTCAGACAATTCAAGAGTAGAAATAAGCCTATTAATCTCTATTAAGAAAGACAGCATGATTTTTAAGAGGAAAACATTAGAAAATATTGGATCAATCACTGAAAAACAACTTGAATATAAGAACTATATTTTTATAAAGAATACAATAAATGAATAATAATATTAAATTTCAATTTACTAATTCCGCTTTATTCATTTGCCAGAAAAATGAATTTCTTGATTATTTCTAAATTTTAACACCAACTGTCGCACTTCAAGAAATGAAGTTAAGAGATGAATTACACAGTATTTTAAATACCACGTAATGAAAACATTTTTAAAACTATATCAAGAACCAATGCTTATAAAAATATTTTTATTACCGTTTGTTATATAACCCAGTTATATAACTATGAATGAACATGTAACCCCATTAAATCAGTATATGTAAGACTGAATAAATCAATGAAAGAAAACTTTGAACAAAAGAATGAGCTATACTTTGACATAAACTTCAATAATGAACACACACCGTATGGAGAAGTTTCTTGTCAAGTTAAATTAACGTTACTGTGATGTATGGCAGACTGTATATTTAGCGAAACTGCTTTATGTTTTCTACGTGCCATTTAAAGGAAAAGATACAGTAAAAAATAGGAAAAAGAAAACTTATTTATATAGGATAGGTAATTAACAATAGTTCTCACATTTTTCTTAGAAACTGATTAGATTCTTTACTCTCGAGGCATTTAAAGAGCGTTGCATTGAATAAGTTAATTGCAAAAATCTTCTTCACAGTTATTTTAAAGGTCATGTTTCTTCTAAATGCAACAGTCTATATGAAATAAATGGAATATTGAATAACTTGTGAATTGAAAAATCCAATTTTCCAATGAGAGAAAACTTTAAGACGTCTTTATTGATTTTCTTCCTTTTTAATTTTGTAAGGCCAGTCTTGCAGCATTTGTAATTTAAAAACTAAGATAACAAGAATTTATAATAATATAAATAGTTAAAGAAGTAGATAGTTTTTTATGCACTAAAGTTTGCAAAACTAGAACGTATAAAAAATTCAAATTTCTAAGTTATCGATATAAATTAATTTATAAAAAAAGAAGGAAAAAATATACTCAAAAATCTAAATAACCCCGTGCAATTCCTTAAGAAACTAAAACCATTTTAACTAGACAGTTTATATTTGAAGTTAGTCGGTGAAAATTTGCTCGAGTAACGAGTTTAAACGCCTTNTGGTTTTCAAACCATTAATTAAGTAATTTTTCCGTTCACATATTAACTGTTAACATGAAATTATAGTTATAAAAATTGTTTTTATTACCATCTTTTTAGAAAGAAATGCAGATTTGAAAAGTAAATTTACCGAATAAAGGATTTTTATGTCATCCTCTTAAAGTTATAATATAATTATCAAATTTTACTCTATTTACCAAATGTTATCCCTCGTTGTACAACCATATGTTCTTTTTAATTTTATCAAAATCATTACCAAAACGCTTCATTAACGATTATCGAGCTTTTTTGAGTTCCTGTAGAGCCATACACATGGTAAATTTTACCTCATTCTGGTAGTTTAGATCATTTGTTTTTATTTAGTCTATATAGTTTCTTAGGTGAGTCAAATATAACATGCCATTTTTAAAAACTGCTTGTTCCTTTTTCTCACATATTAGCATTAAATGAGTAAAAGAATAAGCATAATTCCTTTATTACATTTTTGCAATACAATTGTACTTATTTAATTATAAGTGGTAGATTTAATTACTTGGAGGATTTAAATATTTAATTTAATTTCTGCAATGACCCCATTTCTTAGTAAATCTTAGAAATCTGGAAGTTAAATTGAAAATAAAAAATAATATTTATAATATCATTATGCCTCGATATATTTCAGCTGCAATGTTTTATTCATCTTCTTTTTCCGGCCTAACCACGCGTATTACTCATTCAAATTTATATCACTCGTTCGTTATATGTTATTAAGATAACAAAGCATGCATTAACTAATTAATGAAAAAAACAATACTGTTGCTCACACAATTCACGAGAAGAAATATACCTATTAATCTCTATTTAGAAAGACAGTATGATTTTTAAGAAGAAAACATTAGAAAAAATGCAAGCTTTTTATGATCATACGAAATATTATTTTATTTTAATAAAGAATACAATAAATGAATAACAATATTAAATTACAATTTACCAATTCCGCTTGATTAGAAAAACGAATTTCTTAAATATTTCTAAATATTAACACAAACTGCCACACTTCAAGAAATGAATTTAAGAGATTAATTACAAAGTATTCTTAATACCGCGAAATGAAAACTTTTTTAAAACCATATCAAGAAACAACGGTTATGAAAATATTTTTATAACCGTTTGTTACATAACCCAGCTATATAACTATGAATGAACTTGTAACCCCATTAAATCAGTATATGTAAGACTGAATGAATCAATGAAGGAAAACTTTGAGCAAAAGAATGAGCTATACTTTGACATAAACTTCAATAATGAACATATACCGTATGGAGAAGGTTCTTGTCAAGTTAAATTAACGTTACTGTGATGTATGGCAGACTGTATATTTAACGAAACTGTTTAATGTTTTCTACGTGCCATTTAAAGGAAAAGATACAATAAAAAATAGAAAAAAGAAAACTTATTTATATAGGATAGGTAATTAACGATAGTTCTCACATTTTTCTCAGAAACTGATTATATTCTTTACCCTCGAGGCATTTAAAGACCGTTCCATTGAATAAGTTAATTACAAAAATCTTCTTTACAGTTATTTATGGGGTCATGTTTCTTCTAAATGCAACAGACTACATGAAATAAATGGAATATTGAATAACTTGTGAATTGAAAAATAAAATTTTCCAATGAGAGTAAACTTTAAGACGTCTTTATTGATTTTCTTCTTTTTTTAATTATGTAAGCCTGTCTTGCAGCATTTGTAATTTAAAAACTAAGATTACAAGAATTTATAATAATATAAATAGTTAAAGAAGTAGATAGTTTTTTATGCACTAAAGTTTGCAAAACTAGAACGTATAAAAAATTCAAATTTCTAAGTTATCGATATAAATTAATTTATAAAAAAAGAAGGAAAAAATATACTCAAAAATCTAAATAACCCCGTGCAATTCCTTAAGAAACTAAAACCATTTTAACTAGACAGTTTATATTTGAAGTTAGTCGGTGAAAATTTGCTCGAGTAACGAGTTTAAACGCCTTAAAAAAACTTTTTCAAAGTTAGGGAACGCTCTAAATAATCTGTAAGAGGTTGCTTAAATAATAAAAATTCATGTACTTACTACACCTAGCACTATGAGTACGTTATTTTAGGGTCCTTAGGCACTTTTTAAGATTTTAGAGTGGTGCTCTCAACCCTTAAAAACTATGCTTTCAGCAAGCATTAACAACTTACGAAAATCTCATACGAAGGGTTTATTGTATTTCAGCGATTTTTTTTTGTGTTAAAATTATAATACTCGGAAAATTTCTCAACAAGTTTTAACAGTTTGAGGAAATAAGAAAGTGAAAAATAAATAGAAAAAGTTATTACTTGGTTTCGGCTTTGATTAAATATCACACGGATTAGATATGAAAAAAATAAATAAAGAAAATAAAAGAGTGATGACAAACCATTTTTTATATTAACAACAAACAAATTTTACTGTAAAGTATACTTGAATATAAAAAATATAACTTTACTGTAAAGTTACAATACAATATTCCCATAAAGTTTTTAAACAGGTAAGGTATGTTATTTTATTTATTATATCACACTAAATTGATAATAGTAAATTCAAAACATACAACCAATTTACAATGCTCAAAATACTGACTGTTTTCATAATTTAAAAATGGCGACATTTTTGTTAAAATTATTAGCTAATCCATTCCCAATGTATTTGTGTCGAAGCTACTTATGGATAAATACAGCAAGGAATTTTGTACAAAATTCCTTGCTGTATTTGCTGTATATTCAAAATTTGATATGTATTAAATACATTTGGATTTTTATAATTTACGTATGACGAGAATATCCCAATTTAAGCTAAATAAAAAAAGTACTTTATTAAAATTAATTTGATGTAGCTAAATATCTAGTTTTACCCGGTGAAAACAATTCCGGTAAAATTACTGTACTGCATGATAATGACATTGCTTGTAAAAATAGATAAATTAAAAAAAAGCAGTTTTGGTTAATAAAATCGAAATATACAGTCTTTATATCTCTAATTTGGTAAATTTTCCTTTCATATGATAACAGTTGACCGGAAATTTTGTCGTCAAAATTAAAGTTCTTATTACTACAAACATAGTTAACAAAATACCGTACATAAAAGTACATTTAACCCGAATAAATGGTTTGTATTGTATGCTTTAAGGTATTATGATAAGCTAACAAAATTTTAACAGTCACCAAATTTTATCTCGTGGTATAAACCCATATTTTATTGCTAATTTTAGTAAAAGTCATTATCTCATTCATTCATCGCTTCGGCAAAAAAACCGAGCTTTTTTCTGTTCTCATATAACCAGAAATAAGGTGAATTTTTATCATATTCTGGAAATTTTGACCATGCCTTTCGTCTCAGAGTGGCCGTAATATAACACGCATTCTTATAAATTTCCAAATGATGCAAAGCATTAAATTACATTTTTAATTTAAAATAAAACATAATTTTTAGTCATTAAATTATATTCTTAGAATTTTAAAAAAAAGTGGAATTTTTTTGGTTTCTGAAATAGTACTTTAAATAAAAATCTTAAAAATAACATAAACTATCTACTAATTGTTCCTTTTGTTATCTGACAAACAATAAATGTCGTTAATAATGAAATTAGTCAAGCTATTCTACTAAAAAAAGGACAATAAATAAAAAAAATCTTTCTAAAAAGACTAAAATGGAAATTAACTGGATTGTCGGGAGACTTTTTCTTCTGAATAAATACCATAATAAGGGTGCCATTTTTGTTCTTATGTCTTAAATTAAAATTCAGTAAATTAGAAAAATCAAAAAATTAAGAATTGGGGAATAATAGGGATAAGAATAGGAGGCATTATACTCTCAAACAGTTCGATTTTTTAATCAAATCTTAATTGTATAATTTGATGTTTTACGTGTTAGTTTATTTCTTATAACAGTTTATAAATTTCTTTAGTGTTAAATGAATTTGCTTTTAGATTATTTTATATATTATAGTTTTATCAAAAGTTCTTAATGCTTTGCAAAATTATCCATACTAACACGTAAATGAATAAAAATAGGATAATATGTACGATTTTAGCTACTAGAGAAACGTAATTTTAATAAGCAAAGTCTGTTAAATCCGTAAAATATGTATTTTTGTGATTATTAAAAATGTAGATGTGTTTTCAATACATAAAATAACATTGTTTAACAAAAATGTATGCAACCGTAATAAAATATCGTATATCATAATAAAAGTGTTTGCAATTACATCTCGGATAAATTTTCAAGCAAAAATCTGTTTTTGTAAGGACTAAGTCTTGTCTCAAAATAGTACGAAGAAAATTTCTGTTGAGTACGTATTTATTGCTAATGCAACTAAACTAAAAGAACAACCGCAAAACATAAGAGTTACAAAAAAAGATTTTATTGTAAAAAAATCTTACCCTATCCATCAGCTCCCGAACCATCCCATTCCACTCGTTTCGATCATTTCTTGTTCCGTAAGATCCATCACGTACTAGGCGAAGCTCAAACTTAAATCCTAAAATATTTGACATTTCTTTTAAAAGATCCACACAAAATCCCTCATATTGTTCATTGTTTCCTTTGGTTTGTTTGTCTGGTTTCTTAACCATCATATATGGTGGATTCTAAAAACAAATATTAGATTAAGAAATTTAAGAATAGTTCATATTTTTAGCATTTAAAAGCATGCATTATCTTATTATAGGGGTTGAAAAGTCAAACCACGAGTTTATATTTGGCACTAAAAGGTCAGCTATTGAGTCTTATTATTATGAATTTATTTCAACATACAAGTGAATTCTTGCAACTAGGCTTAAAATAAACAAACTCGTTGGAAGAATTGTAGAGTAAAACTAATTTATATTCGCTTATTGTTAATACGAGTGAATATTTTTTCAAATTACAAAAAAAATTATTTCAGTTGCTTAATTATACGAATGATGCCAGAACCATTCAATTTATTGCATTCCTTCGGAAACATAAATAAAATAATCATAAATAAAAATAATCATTTTATGCAAGGAATGAACTAGGAAACTGTTTTAATCAGAGTACTCACTAAAGCCCGTATTATCCTGTTGCACAATGCAAAACAAATTGTAAACTCAGAACGCTAATGCACTCAGAACTCACTTTCTTAGAACTGAGAATGCACTAACTTGACGCGTAAAAAAGCAGTTTAATAAAATATATAAAACTTTGCTTTTTGTTTAAAATTTGCAGAATTCGGTTGCAAAATATTGTCAACAAAAAAAAACACTGATCAAAGATATTTGAGTATTCTGGGAAAAGAGAAACATCTAATGCAATTACAATTAGTGCGATTATTTCGCAATAAAAATTAATAATATTAATTGCAATGTTACAAAACTACAGTATTTGAATTCAGTGCAAAGTTGGTTCCCTGTTTAATTGCATCGCTTTACACCACAGTGTTTTTTCCTGAAATTCCTTAGAATGTTTAAAGTGTTTTATTTTTATTTTTTTGAAATTGGGGAACAGGATTCGAAAACCAGTAATGGCTGGTCGAGACGAAATCCGCATCCGGCTTGCATCGACCACAATGCTGATGTAAAATATCCTGAGTGGTAAATGGATCACTGGTTAGACTCCCCTAGCCGTCACAGTGACCGAGAGACACTTTCGTGGTTTTCCTCGCAAATGCGAGTAATTGCATCAAAAATCCTCCACGAAGGCAAAATTTCTCCCGATACTTGAGTCATCCCGAAGTTCCCTTGTCTTCAGGATTGGGTTCAAAATTACAAAGTTACGAAGTTGAACATTAGTTGTCGTAAATTCAAAAATTGGGTCGGTCGTTCAACGACAGTTATAATATAGAATAGAATAAAATTCTTCGCTTTTCTGGAGAGAGAAAATCGTTGATAAATATTAGAATGACGATATTTTAAAATACTATAGTTATACGCATGAAAAAAAAACTCAACATCTTGAAGTCGAATGTCATTTTCTAGATTCAGATAGTTTCAGATAGGTCTACTTTTGTTCAATTTTGAGTTAATAATTTCAAAAATCTTATAAGTGAGTGCTTTTCTTAAATTTTCTGATATGTAATGCCCTTTGTTTGGTAATAGAAAAGAAACTGAAGGACATATGATTTGCATAAACAGGAAAGAAAAGCTAACAAAATTTCTTCAATAATTAGAGTCTGATTAATGTTCAAATAAACCATTTATATAATATTAATAGTATAATACCAAACAGATATTTATTTCACTACATAAATATTTATGTTTAGTTAAAACATTACCAATATTTTAGTATAGCAAAACAAAGTTATATTCTTCTTAGGTCATTTGAAAATGTATGTAATAGTATTTATATAAATGATATCAATTGTTAAAAAGTGTCAAGAACTTCAACGGGTATATTCAGCACTGTTATAGGTTTTTTTATTTTTGAATTTTACCTACTTAATTTATCTAATATTTAACCCACATATTTTGGTAAGAATGGTTCGATTCTATCTGAAATTCAACGCTTAATATTTTTGTGAAACGTACATGCGAAACGTATATGTTAGCTAGTAGCAGCGAGCAGTTACATTATATAATTATGTCCAGCATCATAACAAACTAATTAATCAATTTAACATAACTTAAAATCACCGTTATTTCTCCAAGTTAACTCAAAACATCAAATAGTCCTTCATCAGTTTTTTACTGAAATTGCAACTTGATCTCTAAATCCAATGTCAATGTTTAGATAAAAAAAAAAGGAAACGAATAAAAATGTTACTGCAGGAAATTGAACCCGGAAGAAAACGGAAGTTAGAGATCTCAAACAAAACAATTCCAGGAGCATAATCGATTGCTTGATGGATAACCAATTGGTTGTCGTCTTCTAATCTCGGTTTCCAATCTCAAAAAGTTTAGTTTTTTTTCTTCTTCTTCTGCCATTGGAACACTACCGAAGCGCAAGAACACGGATAGGGAGCTAAAGAAATACCCCTGCGGAGTTTCAGCGATTTCTGATGTTGAGATAGATAAAAACATTAACCAACAGATTGCTCTTTTCTAGACAATGCCGTTCTGAGAACTCGAAGAGAGAAATACTGAAGTAGTGGTACTCGCAATCGAATGAGATAGAACAGGTCACTAAATCAATGATCAAATTGATTTTGCTCTCGGTTTTTTCGGAAAGGGAGAAATAACGTTGTCACTTCATTGAAAGCTGGTCGTTAAGAATTTATATCTTATAGTGGTTTTCTGTCACGTTAAGATTTATACTTGATGTATATTCAAGTAGAAATAACGTTTAAAAATCAGAAATCTGATTCTATCTACTATCTATCTATCTCTCTCTCTATATATATATATTTATATATTTAAAAGTTTTTACAGGTTTGGGAAATAAAATTGGCTGGCACGATTGAACAAAAAAAAANATTCACGCCGGTAAGTTTGATTTCCTATTACATTTTTCTTTTATTTCATGATTTTTTTCAAAATAAGGTTTTTTGCGATATCGACACATATAAAGAATAATTTTTATCTTAGGATAATTATTCTTTATTCAGAAATATCGCATTATTTATGGCAATTAGATGTGTCTTGACAACGACTATTTGCTTATACCATTCTTGTTTCTCTACCATTTAGTTTTTTATTTTTATTTTATTCATGTTTTTCATGTTAATTTGTGTATATATATATATATATATATATATTGACAGATAGATAGATAGATATGTCCGCCCTTTATTAAGACCCCCCATTAGTGCTACAATTCCAATATTCCATTATAATAATTACTACATTGAGTACCGTTTTCTGCTGTTCCATGGGCTAAATGAAACTTAACTGCCCCTTTATACCATCCGAACAGAACCATTCATTTTAATATAGCAAACAAAATTTTATAATTTTTTTTTAATTCCCAGAAAGCAAACTAAAAACATGTATGGAGAAATTCCATGGGCTAAATGAAAATTTACTGCTCCTTTATAACATCCGAACAGAACCATTCATTGAAATATAGCGAACAAAGTTTTATAAATTTTTTTTAATTCCCTAAAAGCAAACTAAAAACATGTATTTAGAAATTTTGCGCTTTCAAAGCTAACATTTCTCCATTTGCAACAACAAGTTAATGGGTAACAAAAGTCACCCGAAAATTATTCAAACCACTTTTTCCTTTTGATTTACCGCTCAATAAACACAGGAGCCATCTTGAAAGAAGAAAGAGGGACAGGAGCACTAAATTTGGTATCTGTTAAAACAAATAGCAAATGAGTGAATTTTTCAAAAAAAGATGGGGCAATTAGAATAAAAATTGAAACTCTGTTAAACAAATTATTATACTTTTTTTTTAAATAGTTCAACTTATTATTGTTTGTTATATTTTCTAGAAATTTGTGCAACCGCGAAAAAGAAAATGATTCCTTCAAGTAGACGCCAGCTTTATTTAAAACGAATGGTTTTTCATATTTCAGGCATACGTAACCAGTTTCAAACTCATCTTAAATGTTGGAAATTTTTTGATTTAACTAATGTCCTATGTTGCGAGTAAAAGAAAACTAAACGAACATCTTACACTTTCAGTAGCACAGAAACCAACCCCAAAAAAACAATTTCAGTTTCTTTGGAAGCATCAGAGTTTAGTTTAAATAATACAATATCATCTATTAATTCCATAATTCTATTAATAATTGCTTTTCTTTAATGAAAAACTCTTGCGAAAGCAAAATTTACTAAGCGAATTCGACATCTGTTTTGATTGATGCAAGTCTTCATTTCCACATAACCTCGATTTTTGATTTTTTTAAAAATTACTAGAACCTTGCGCGCACTGCAAAATATACCGACTGGATTTTTAAAAGCACCGTAAAATCCATTTTTCCTGTGCACGTTATGGAAGCAAAAATCTAATGTACGTTAATTTTAACAGTATAATTATTGTAAAATCACTAAATCACTTTGATTGAAGAAATATTACTGTAAAAATTGCGGTATGATATTTTACGGTAAAAAACGATTTTATGGTAAAATAAATTGTTGTAATCCTAATATGATCCAGAATTTTTTTCAGTGTATAAGTGTAACGCAATTTACATTCAAATAGATTCTTTGAATTGAAAACAAAAAGAAAAGAATATGCATTTGTTATCAGTCCATGTGTCTGAGAATACAATTGCCTAAACTTTGAAGACAAACAATTTCTTAACCTTAAAATATAGTTTAATAGTTTATATTTGAATACATTATTTGTTATACAAACATATTTAATATTTAGATAAAATTTTACTAGCAAAGATATATGACTGTCGGAAAATATAATTTACTAATCAATTATCTGAACTAAAGAGTTTTTGAATCGAAAATAAACATATAAAGCAATTTTCTTTATTACATCGCTAAACTCAACTAGAGATTTATTTCGCACAAAGCTGAAAAAAAATCGTTAAAAAATTGGTGAATAGACGTGTTAGGAAACAATAGAAATCATTTCGCTTTCATTCTCCATTGGACATAAATTCTATTAGTAAGTACAAACCATTAATCATCCGTATCTGTTAGTGGGAAATGTCATACGCTTCCCTAATGTTTATTACCTACTTGGAAAAATGATGAGAATAAGATGCAATCAATTTTTCCTTTGGCCGTTAGAAAAGTATTTTCATTCTTTTCTAGATGACTTTTCTTCGTCAATTTTTATTTCTCATTCATAATTTCTTCCCTGCTGTGAGCACTTGCTATTAAATAATTTAGCAAAAAGCCTCTTCTCCAATTTATAACATTTATTGACTTTTACATGATTACTCACAAGCGTTAATAATTCCTGTAATATTGATATTTTCTATGAAGATGTTTAAATATAAGCTTTTCAACTTTGCATATAACAGTTTATAACTGTCATTGAAAGGGCCACTAAGAAAAAGATAATTAAACAGTTATTAGAACAAATTAGAATAATGTATTTAAAAAAATTATTTGTGGGAAAAAAAGTGTTTAGGAAAGCAAATTTTTACATAGTCATGCTCTTTGGCTAGAATGTAATTTCGATAAAACCAAAGCTCTTTCCACCCCTTTTATTTCAGATCATCTAGATGTTCAGAAATTTTGTTTCATATATGTGAATATTGATTCCCTAATTAACGACCTGAATTACTCATCTCTTCACCACAACGCTTGGAAATGCTCTCTGCCCTGATTTACCTCTCTCAGCTCCCGCCATTTTTCTAATGTGTTTCACCAGTATTTTATTATTTTTTTTCGTTGGAAACTTTATATTCTTTATTTCTAAGTTGTTTTACATTTTCTCATTTCCATTTCATGTGTCTTGAGAATGGGTGACAGTTTTTAAATTGCTTGAAACATGTTAACTTTTTCCCTGTAATAATCTTTGAAGCAAATTAAGTTTTTAAATCATAAACAGCAAAACCTTACTATTTAATGAATAATGTCACAAATGTATTTCCATTATAAATGTAGCTTTTAAGTTGCACTTTATCTGTAAGATAGTTTCATCAATGTCTCTGAGAAAATATAAAGATTTTTTTCTTATTCTAAAATATTAAAAAAAAAACTTTGTCTTGAATCTTTGCTTTGCTTCTTATAAAATGCAATATTTCATGCGTCTAACTATTATTTTTCGTAATCAATTAAAAGATAAAGAATATTGGTTTTTCAAACTTACAAGAATTGTTGTTACTTTGAGAGTTCTGTTCTTCAGAGATTGAATAACTTCAGAATAAGCGACCGTATAGTTCCACGTGAAGTGCAGACCTTTTGAGGAGTCCCAAACACCAACCTGAACAGAGAAAATAAAAATAATTTTTTTATAAAAGAAGAAGAAAGTTTGAATTAAAGTATTGTACCTTGAACCAAGGAAATCATCAGCAGGGGGAGTAATTTGTATCTTTTCATTCCATGCATTTGATTTCTTTAACAGGCACAATCTTCTGACCTTTCTTAAGCATGACACTGAGGTTAAGTACATCTTATTTTAATTTTATTTTTATTATTTTTCTTTAAATTTTATTTTTACTTTATTTTTATTTATTTTATTGCATTTCTGTTTTTTTTAATTTTATTTTTATTTATATTTCATTTTATTTTATTTTTACTTTATTATTATCTCATTTTTATTTTGTTTTTATTGTATTTATGTTCCATTTTTATTTCATTTTTTTTATTTTTTATTATTATTTTATTTTTATTTTATCATTATTTTATTTTCATTTTATTTTTAATTTATTCTTACTGTATTTTTACTATATTGAACTATATTTACTATACTGTATTTTTACTATATTTTATTTTATTTTAATATTATTTTTATTGTATTTTTGCTTTATTTTTATTTTATTTTGTTTTAATTTTAATTTTGTTTTACGCTTATTTTAATTTTATTCTTAATTTACTTTTATTTTATTTTATTTTTACTCTATTTATTTTTATTTTTTATTTTTATTTTTTTATTACATTTTTCTTCTACTTTTTTACATTTATTTGCTTTTATTTTATTTTATTTTATTTTATTTTATTTTATTTTATTTTATTTTATTTCATTTTATTTTATTTTATTTTTTATTTATTTTTTATTTTTTTAAATTTTTTTTTATTTTATCTTATTTGTTTTTATTTTATTTTATTTTTACTTTATTTATTATATTTTTTTCTTCTTACTACCAGCAATTTTTCCAAATACATTCCTTTAGTTTAAAAAAATATTCATTATTATTTCATTATTATAAATAAGTAATAATTTATTATTTGCCCGTTTAAAACTATCCGGTACGTTTGCTTATCTAAAATCGAAGTATCATTTCCCATTGAAGGGAAATGAATTTCTCGTGGAAACAAATTGCCAAATATTTTTAAGCGTTAAAAACTATTTATTTTCGTTTTGAAAACCAATTTTTTTTAAATTTATGAATCAGTACATTAGTAGACGAATTGTATCGCTAAATTCTGATAATCAAAAAGAAACTCAAAAGAACTTTGAAATGTATGCCATTTTTAAATAAAAGTTATGATACTAATTAAAACCAGAAAAAGGAAATACATTTAGTTTGATATAAAGTCTAAGTTTCTTTACATCTGAATAATATATAACACATTCTATACATTGTATGTTTATCAAGCATATATATTTATAATAAATAATTTTAAATTAACTATTTGTAAAATATATATTTTTAATATTTCCATTTGATTACGTGAATGCCTTATATTTTATTTTAATTTTTGCCTAAAACTTAAAATTTAAATTTCATGCAAGATAATTTCTATTCGTAACTGAAATTTTCCCTCTGTTAGTTTGGCTGTTTATATATTACTTATCTTTGTTTGGTATTAATTAAATAAAGTAATGTAAAATTCATAAATATAATATTTTCTAGTCTAGCTTTTTTTATACGTTTCGTTATTCATTTCGAATAACAATCTGCAAAATGAGTAAATTTTGTTTTAAGGAAAATAAACTGAAGCGTAAAATTCAACTCAGTTTTTCATAATATTTAATTTCAGAAGATGTTTAAAACGATATTTTCTGCTTTTACCGAATTAATGTTTGGTAAAATTGTTATTCATTAATTACTAATGCTTGTCTAATGAAATTTAATTTAGCAAAATATTTTAATTTTTCTTAATTGCTTATTCAGTCAATTTAGATTTATTTTAATTTATAACAACAGCAAACGTATTTTGAGTACTTCAGTGCTTCATGAAATGGAGATAATAATCTTAGAAAATATCACTCTAAAACAAAATTTAAAAAATTTATATTTTACTTAAGTGATCTAATTAATAATTTTAATTATTTTTTTTTAATGGAAACGAATTTTTATAATGTTAGTTTTATAAAATTAAAAATAATGGATAGCATGAAATAGAAAATAATTTATTAGTTATGTTATTTCAAAATTATAATTTATTCACTCTGATATGACTTTTTTCATGAAGAGACAGTTCGGCAGCTTGCAGACGAATGATTTCGAATTGGACAGGTTTATTTTATCCCTCGTCTTTATTTGATGTAACTTAAATATCTATCTCCTCCTATCCTTTATTTGATTCCTTGATTCGTCTTGTTCCACAAAATAGCACGCGCATGTAAAAGCAAAACAAACAAAAAATGAATAAATAATAAATTATTAATTTTTCAAACGCTCCACGTTCTCATTAAAAAAAATTAAAGTATTTCTCCTTGAAGAAAGTGTATGTTATTCAGAGCTAATAATCTCTCAGGGGATATGGTCATGTAATATACATGTTTACCAAAGAAATTTTACAATGAATTTGAAATGTTTTGTAATAATTATTAAAACGTTATTTTTTATTTTTATATGGTATAATCTTTATTTTTATGCGCTTTAAAATAATTTTGCGTATTACGGCTATTTTTTTAAATTTTAATTTTTACTTATTTAAAAAAAAGAAAGAGGCTATGGCATGCTTGTTTAGATTGGATAATCTAGTGAATGAAATTAAATTTTACTTTGCAGATTTAAAATTTATGAACATTAGTTAATTCAATTTTTGGATTTTTAATCTTGAAATGTGTTTTTAAGTGAATTCCTAATTCGATTTTAATTTGCTTCGAAATTTAAAACGCCTTCTTACAACTAACGAAGTCTACGTTTAGTTTCCCTAATTATCGATAAAATGTAATGGAAAATAGAAAGTAGTTTTGCATTTTTGATTAGAAATTCAATATATATTTGACAATAAACTCACTTTGGAAAGCCCATTTCTTTTCACGTGTTAGGAAACAANACGAAGCAGTGAAAAGGCTTCACCCATTGTTTATTAATTCCACGAAGATTGAGGCAAATGTTTATATTGAAAATGAAACAGTCAAGAGCTCCACCCACTACTCAGTTTATTAATCCTACGAAGATTGAGGCAAATGTTTACATTGAGAACGAAGCAGTATAGAAGCTCCATCCATCATGTATTGTTTCTTAATCCTTCGAAGAAAATGTTTACATTGAAAACGAAGCAGTGAAAAGGCTTCACCCATTGTTTATTAATTCCACGAAGATTGAGGCAAATGTTTATATTGAAAATGAAACAGTCAAGAGCTCCACCCACTACTCAGTTTATTAATCCTACGAAGATTGAGGCAAATGTTTACATTGAGAACGAAGCAGTATAGAAGCTCCATCCATCATGTATTGTTTCTTAATCCTTCGAAGAAAATGTTTACATTGAAAACGAAGCAGTGAAAAGGCTTCACCCATTGTTTATTAATTCCACGAAGATTGAGGCAAATGTTTATATTGAAAATGAAACAGTCAAGAGCTCCACCCACTATTCAGTTTATTAATCCTACGAAGATTGAGGCAAATGTTTACATTGAGAACGAAGCAGTATAGAAGCTCCACCCATCACGTATTGTTTCTTAATCCAACGAAGATCGAAGAAAATGTTTATATTGAAAACGAAACAGTCAAAGGCTCCACGCATTATTTATTAATCATACGAAGAAGGAGGCGAATGTTTATATTGAAGACAAAACAGTCAAAAGGTTTGCGCAATTAATTAATCCCATGAAGATTGGAGGCAAATATTTACAATGAGAATGAAGCAATATAGAGGCTTCATCCATTATAATATGTTTATTAATCAGTCTCTTAAGTAAATGCTGTTGGATTCTTAAATTGAAAGTGACCCTGAATAAAGGAATATAAAACTTCAAATGCATTTTTTCAAAATTGAATTTCACATTTTAGAAAAGATGACTCAGAATGATAAGGCTTTTTTCCTCATGTTTATAAATCATCTGGGTAAAAGCGTTAAAAAAAGTACATGACGTTACAAGAAAACAATGAATAGAAAAAATTATGGAACTTTTTGATCCTTATGATATTCATTTTTTTTTTATTTTATTTTATTTTATTTTCATTATTATTTTATTTTTATTTTATTTGAAATTTATTTTTACTGTATTTTTACTATATTTTTATTTTATTTTAATATTATTTTTACTGTATTTTTTTTTTGTTTTTATTTAATTTTATTTATTATTTTATTATTATTTTATTTAGATTTCATTTTAATTTTGTTTTCACGCTTATTTTTATTTTATTTTTAATTTATTTTTAATTTATTTTTGTTTTATTTTATTTTTACTTTATTTATTTTTATTTTTTATTACTTTTTATTCCATTTTTTTTCTCTTATTTGTTTTCATTTTATTTTATTTTTTATTTTATTTTATTTTTATTTTATCTATTATACTTTTTTTTATTTTGCTACCAGCAATTTTTCCAAATATATTATCTCTTTCTTCCCTTAGTTTAAAAAAAAAATGCATTATTATGAAAGTAATAATGTATTATTTGCTATTTTAAAATTATCCGGGACATTTGCTTATCTAAAATCGAAGTGGAAATGAATTTCTCGTGGAAACAAACTGCCATATATTTTTAAGCGTTAAAAACTATTAATTTTCGTTCTGAAAACCAATTTTTTTTAAAGTTATGAATAACTAGCATCAGTACATTAGTAGACGAATTGTATCGTTAAACTCTGATTATCAAAAAGAAATTCTTACTCAACTTATACAGACTACGCCATTTTAATATTTTTTTTTAATGTATGCCATTTTAAATAAAAGTTATTGTACTAATTAAAACCAGAAAAAAGAACTATATTTAGTTTGATATGAAGTCTTTTAGTTTCCTGGCATTTGAATAATATATAACGCATACTATACAATGTATGTTTATTAATTATATATATTTATAATATATAATTTTAAATTAAGTATTTATAAAGCATCTATTTTAAATCTTTCCATTTTATTACACGAATGTCTTACATTTTATTTTAATTTTTGCTTTAAAATTTAAAGTTTAAATTTCATGCAAGATAATTTCTATTTGTAATTGAACTTTTCCCTCTGCTAGTTAGGCTGTTTATATATTACTTATCTTTGTTTGGTATTAATTAAATAAAGTAATGTAAAATTCATAAATATAATATTTTCTTTCTGTAAAGCATTTTTTATACGTTTCGTTATTTATTTCGAATAAAAATCTACCAAATGTGTTAATTTTCTTGTAAGGAAAATAAACCGAAACGTAAAATTCAACTCAGTTTTTCATAATATGTCATTTAAAAAGATGTTTAAAACGATACTTTCTGTTTTTACGGAATTAATGTTTGGTAAATTTGTTATTCATTAATTACTAATGCTTGTCTCATGATATTTAATTTAGCGAAATATTTTAATTTTTCTTAATTGCTTATTCAGTCAATTTAGATTTATGCTAATTTATAACAACAGTAAACGTATTTTGAGTACTTCAGTGCTTCATAAAATGGAGATATAAATCTTAGAAAATCTCACTCCAAAACAAAATTTTAAAAATTTATATTTTACTTAAGAGATCTAATTAATAATTTTAATTAATTTTTTTAATACAAAAGAATTTTTATAATGTTAGTTTTATAAAATTAAAAATAATGGATAGCACCAAATGGAAAATAATTTATTAGTTATGTTATTTCAAAATTATTACTTATTCATTCTTATATGACTTTTTTCCTGAAGAGACAGTTCGGCAGCTTGCAGACGAATGATTTCGAATTGGACAGGTTAATTTCATCCCTGGTCCTTATTTGATGTAACTTAAATATTTATCTTCTCCTATCCTTTATTTGATTCCTTGATTCGTCTTGTTCCACAGAATAACACGCGCATGCAAAAACAAAACCAAAAAAAAAAAAAAAATGAATAAATAATAAATTATTAGTTTCCCCGTTCCACCTCCTCATTATAAAAAATTTAAGTATTTCTCCTTGAAAAAAGTGTATGGTATTCAGAGCTAATAATCTATCAGGGGATATGGTCATGCAATATACATGTTTACCAAAGAAATTTTATAAAGAATTTGAAATGTTTTATAATATTTATTAATGCGTTATTTTTTATTTTTATATGGTATAATTTTTATTTTTATGCTCTTTAAAATAATTTTGCTTATTATGGCCATTTTTTTTAATCTTAACTTTTACTTATTTAAAAAAAAAGAATGAGGCTGTGGCATGCTTGCATAGATTGGATAATCTAGTGGATGAAATTAAATTTTACTTTGCAGATTTAAAATTTATGAACATTAGTAAATTCAATTTTTGGATTTTTAATATTTAAATGTGTTTTTAAGTGAATTCCTAATTCGATTTTAATTTGCTTCGAAGTTTAAAACGTCTTCTTACAACTAACAAAGTCTACGTTTAGTTCTCCTAATTATCGATAAAATGTTATGGAAAATAGAAAGTATTTTTGCATTTTTGATTAGAAATTCAATATATATTTGACAATAAACTCACTTTGGAAAGCCCATTTCTTTTCAATTCCAATACATCTAGACTGAAATTTGTCCGGTATCCTTCTCTGTCAAATTTAAGAAAACCTGTCATGCCATCATAAGTCATCTAAAAATAAATGTATAATTGTACAGAGTTATATTATCTCAGTAATTTTTTTTAATATTTCATTTAAAATATTAACTGCAGGAATATTTATTAGTTTTTCGTCGTTATTAGCAGGTAATTGCATTCTGGTATACGAAAACATACTAATGACAAGAAAAATTGTGTGCTTCATGAAAGAATTAATGTTGTATATTATTACGACAGGATATTTAACGTGTACTAGTTACAGAATGTACTCATATCAGAAAAATGAATTTAAAATTGTTTAATACATTAAATGATGAATGTTGTATATTTTTATGTAAAATTTTTAACGTGAACTATTAACAGAAAAATTTAATAGTGCACACGAATCACTGTACGAAATAATCAATTTTATATATTATTATCTAAACACAATACGTACTAAATCAAAAGATGGTGATTAAGTATAATAGAAAATTATAATAGTTTTAACTATATAAATGTAAAATGAATATTCTATGCAACTACAGAGTTTTCTGCTTATGTTCTGACAAGTAAATAAACGAATTAAAATAGCTTAAAATATACCAGAATTAACAATTAAAAATTTGGGTATAATATTTATCATTTATACTTTCTTATCTTTTTCAAACAATTTTTGACTCATAAAATCAAAATCTCGCTTTTTTTTATTATTTTTTTTACGTAGCTTAAGTATGCGTTTTAATGTGCTCGTATTGAAAATTGTAACATTTAAATTTAATTTTACAAGTTTGATTTATACACAACATTTTAATTGATACGCAGTTTCATGCTTGCTAATTTTTTTAAAGTCTTATAGCCTCAATGTTGGAAACAGTGGTTCAGTTTTGCTTGCTCAACATCTTTATCTATGTAGTCATTGAAAAATAATTTATCATGTTTTGAGAATACATTAATAAAAATGATAAATATCCTCCAAGTTTGACATTATGCTTGCGCTCCAGGGAAGCGATGTAATCCTATTGTCATAAATACATCTTATATCTTTTCAGTTCAGTTCAACGCGTTTGTGATATTTTTGGCGCTGACATTTTGGCGTTACTTAATACTGCTTCGTCTCACTGCTCATTTTGGTAACTGAAAGCTGTTCTGGACCTTTACGTGTCTCTCTTGATAATTTCAAAGGATTATTTTTAAATGTAATTTTCAATCCTGCATGGTAAAAATTAGTTATCCCTGGAATGCTATTGAGTTTTAATAGATTAGGTCTTTGAAAATAGCTGATAGGGTTTTCTAGTTATGTTCCATTAGCAAAAAAGTCATTAAACGAAGTTTAATAGGTTTGAAAAATTTTAGTTAAGATATCAGTTCCTTAAAGAGCACCTCTATTAATTACTGATAATATTTTTAATTTGTTCAAGCAATTCTCTCATTTCGTGTCAATTAGACATGTGAAAATTAGATTAGAAAATAATTCGTGTTTCTTTTTATGAACGTTTCGTTTAATTCGTTTAACTTTAACTATATGTTTAATTTTAAATCTTAAGAGCTATAACGATACAAACAGTAAAAATTATTCTTCTGTATTGTTACATATTTTAGAAATTAGATTGAAAAATATGAAACGCTGTCATTTTGAAATTATTTGAAACATATACTTTTCCAATTGATACTATATCGATTTTATTCACCATTTTCAGATATTGATTTTTAAATCAAACGGAAAAACAGAATAAGACACATAAATATATAAGGGGAATTGGGGTAAGATTGGATGGCTAAGTTTTAAATGCTTGTTCAAGCTAAATTGTTCAACATAGAGACTGTCAGATTCATTCAAGATATTCATTGTTTTGTTGGGAACAATATATCATACCTGAAAATTCAGGAATGTGCTACTTTTTTTCTTGTAGTGATAAATGTACTACTTCTGCTCTACTTACCCCACCAATGCACAGTGGGCCAGAAGACCATGATCTTTGGTCAAAAGTCAAAATTAAATTTTTTACTAAAATATGTGTAGGCAGTTTCAATATCGCCCAAATTAAGTATTCATAATCATTCCAAACATTATAAGTTACTTTTTGGACCGACAAGAGTACAATGTAGTGAAAAATATGTTAAATTTTTTTTTAATGTAACTTTTAAATTAATATTTCAGAAATATATGTAGGAATTTCACCTCACTGTTGCATTTTTATCAGAGTAATTAGTCTGAAATTATAGTACAATATTTCAATTTGTTTGATTAGTTAATACTCTTGACAAACTTATAGTTTATGTCTTATCATTTGACATTTTACAATGTTTGAATCACTTTCGAAACTTATCTCAAAAAAGTTCCACGTGGTAATTAGCTAAACATTTTTTTGTTGTCTCTTTGATATATATATATATATATTATTTGGGAGATTTCTTTCAAAAAAACCTGCCCCATTTTGCCCATACTGCAAAGGTGGACTAAATATACCGAAAAACAAAAATTATGTTTTTTTTCATGTTTTCGCGTTATTTTGTAACATTATTTCGGAAATATAATTTACTTTTTTTTTAATATAAAGTTACAAAAATTATTATATTTTCATTGCTATATTTAATTATTTAAGCGCACTGTATTATTTTTTAATTTTTATTTTTGCTCGCCATATTTCAGTCACCATTTTGTTACTTTTTGGTATTTTTAGTGTATTTCAAAATTTCAACTATGAATTCAATTCACCTGCACATAAAAAACCCCAAATTTTGAAATAAATTTTATCGAAATACTAATTTTGGCAACAAAACCTTGGCAACTGTGCAATGGGGTAAATCTGGGTAGAGTATTTGAATTTCAGTGAAGTTCAGTAACGGGTTGAAAGTGAATAACGGGAAGTAAAACTAATAACCAACCGATCGAGTACACACTGACCAATTCAGTTGGTCTGAAACATCCAAATAACGAGTAGCAAGAGAGAAAACCGATCGAGAATGGAATGCAATTTAAACTGCAACCGTTGTGACGAGTACAGGGTACAGCTAGTATTGTATAAAAATCATTTCTGTATATTAAAAATTCGTTAGCACCGCCGTCGCCTTTGGCGTGTTCGACTTCACGTTGCATACTGTTTAGCAGTGCTAAACGTATAAGACAATCAAACTTGAAATTTGGAAAGCGAGTAGAAAAATATATAATAAGTACGAATTAAAAAAAAATAAACATTTGATAAGTAGTTCATGAAGTATGAACTGTAAAAGTTTTGTAGAAAAAAATAGCACGTGTACCACTCTACAGGCAGCAAGAATATAACCACAGAGTTGAAATTCAACATACTAATTTTGTTTATAAATTTGACTCAGAATTTTTGCTTTGAGATTATAATTTGTTCGAAAATTATTGCAATTTTGAATGCTCTTTTTGTGAATTTAGTATTTTTTGAAGCACGTTACATTTTATTCTGCAATTTTTTTGATAAACCTAAGACATTTTAATTAATTGGAAAGGAAAAAAATATCAAACCATAGAAGTCTTATAATAAATGTTAATAATTTGTTACGAGACTTAAATTGTAGTACTATGATAAATTCATAGTAAGAATACTTCTAACATTGGTAATATCACAATACTCCATTTCGGGTTGTTATACTTAATTTTAGAAGTGCTATTGACGCGAATCGTATTTGTGTAAGTATATGGGGCAAAAAATGAATGAAAAACTATTTTTTATTATTTTTAACATTGGAAGATATTAAAACGTTAGTCTTTCTCAATAAATGAATAATTCAAAATTAGGATCTGGATTTTAAGAAGTTTTCTTATAGTTAGTTCAGATTTTTCTTAATATTTAATTTAAGAATTTTAAAATGCAAATATTTTACATCATTTTGAAGAAAGTAATTTTAAATCGCAAACCTTAATTTTTTTCTTCTTCAAAAATGGGAATATGTGAACATTTGTTTTTAAATGCTCTTTCAAGGAGAGTCGGTAGGACATATACCAATAATGCTAAAACTGACCTTTTTCGATATACTTTATTCAGCATCTGAACATGATATTGCTTAATTTTTTTTTGCAGAATAGTTACATATACATGTTTACTATGTCATGACTGTTATTACATATCTTTAATCTTATTATCAAGACTTTTGGAGGACTCTAATCTTTGCACTAGCACTGTATGCATAGACACGACAACAACAGCAACATTACATATCTTAGGAAGAAGTATTTTTTTAAATTATGAACTGAGATTTTTAATTTTTTTTAAAAAGTCATCATCTTTGAGCAAAAATCTTCATATCCTTGCTAATGCTAAAGCTGTATCACGGCATACAATTGATATTATCTCAAATATCCCCAAAAAATTTCAGAGTATAAGTAGTAATTTAAAAAAGGTACATCGATATATGCTCCACCGACTCCAAACTATCGAAGAAATATTGTTTTTGAATTTTCAATTTCCAGAAACTGTTCGATATATTTCGATTAAACTTCAGTTTCTTTCATTAGGGAGTTAGATTAAATTTTGAATTCTATCTTTAAGTATAAGTTGTATGATTTTATTCATTATTTAATCAAGCCGAAGCATATCAAAATAAACCCTTAGCTTTGAATATTTGTAAAAAAAATCAATTTTCGAACTTAATTTAATTTTTAACTTGATTATTTATAATCGAATACTCTCAGTGACGTTATTTATTTTGCACTAAATATCTTATTTATTAATTATTTTGTTATTTGCTATGTTTTTAATATAATAAGAATGAAATTGTTTTCGAAACCAAGAAATGAAACTTACTGTTTTGAGGTAGTTGAGCAACTGTCGACCTTGTGGCCAAGATTCTGCTTTGGAACAAGAACGACTGTTAAATTTTAGAGTTTCATTCATTTCTTGTATAGCTTCCGTTAGCAACTTAATGGAGTCATACAACATAGCTAGTTGTGTCTGAAAATACGTAAAACCAATTTATACTATTTCGAAAAAGAAAATGTTTACATAAATTTTTCATCATTTTAAAACAACATACAATACAAAAATGTTATTTCATACAAATACGAAATGAAAAAATCATGCATTAAACAAAAATAATGCCTTTAAATGTATTTTTCAAAAGTAACACACATTTTAAGTGCTTGCATTTTAAAAATAAAGAATCGAAATTTATTTTATATATCTCGGTGGTTAATTTCGTGGAAAGAAAAATAAATTAGAATGATACGAAATTAATATTTTTTTTAATGAAAGGAATAGTCTTTCAATTTCAGTAAATAATTATTTTCTCCGGTTGTTTACAAGCATAAAAAAGTAAACTATCGGAAAGAAATAAAAACCGATATTTTAATCTCATAATTGTACAAACTTTAATTTATTTAATAATGAAAATGTTTCTTTTTTAATTTCATTTATGTGAGCATTTACTTTTTTTCCTTATTTATTTTCTGAATTCAACAAAGAAATTCTCCAAAAACTAAGTGCTTGAAGCATTTCATAAATGGAATCCTTGTTACTATTTTTAATTTATTAATAAATATTTTAAAGATAACTTCTTTTAAATAATGCTAATTAGAAACATTGATTTAAGTAAGAAAATATTGTGCCAGTTTAAGTATTTTTTTTTTATTTATAACTTATTTATTTTTAAAATGTGCACCAAATACATTATGCTAGACTCCTGATCTCAAATAACATGAGAAATAAAATTAGCTTTCATAATAATATATCTAAAATATGCTTAGTTAATATTTCTTTTCTATATATTTAAATAACACGCAAAAAGTATATATTTTAATTAACTGTCATTAATAGTTATCACTTCATTTATCAAAATCCCCACTGCAGCACATTTTTAAAATAAAAACATAAGAGAAATTTATTTCTTAACAAAAACAATTTTAACTATAGAAAAATTTACGCAGTGTTTTAGCTTGTATTTGAATAAAACGTAACTATTTTAATTAAATAAGCGTGTTTTTGAATAAAACTTAAAATTTCTTAGTTTTTATCGTTTTTAAAATAAAGACATTGATAAAAGATATCTTACATTTAGCCTACCTTCACAGGAGGCAACTTTTTATTTATACGGCCGTAGTAAATATCCCCTAGGAGCCATTCTCTAGGGACATATATACTATTTGTTTTTGTGGGCTGAACCAGGCGAAACCCAGAAATGTTTGCTCTCCCATGTTGAAAATCTTGTAAATCAACTGTATGCAAATCCTATAAATAAATTAAGAAATTAAACTTAAATGCTAATTCCTTATTTGTAATTGTATTTTAATACTATGACTACAAATATACTGAGGTACACAAAAATGACTGATGCAACGATTTTCACTAGGAACTATACAGGGTGATGCAGGGACAACCAATGAAGAAGACACAAATGAACCTGAGCAACGGGAAATTCATAAATGGCTCTGACAGCATGTGATTGGTAAGTCCGTAGATTTAGAGAGAATTCTCTTTCATTTTGCTGTCGCTATTGATAATTACCAACTTAGAAAGTGTTATGATGACTGGAGTTGAAGAACGTGCTTCCAGTGAAACGATGAAATTTAAGGTAGTGGCACCCATAGTTAGCTGATGTTTATGAGTGTGGCAAAAGCACACTCATTGCGTACCACTAACCGACTATTGTCTAAGTTTAGTAGGGAAGTAGAGGCTGCTTCCAAAGGTGTCAGTACAAGACGACTAGCAGCATCGCACACAATAAGAATTATGGCAACTGTTGAGCTTCTCTGAATTGCCTGCATACTCCTGGCCAACGTCTTGAATCTTAGGAGTAAAGTCATTCAATGGAAAATTATTATCTTTTTATTTAGTTAAGTAGTGAAGTTAATTATTTGAGCTCATTGCTAAAATATAAATATTTGTCTAACAACTAAACAAATATAATTTTTCAAGCGGGGGCTTATTCTCAGAAATAACAAGCGGGCTCGCTGCGTAACTGAACAGACTGGATTAATTGGTTTTAAATTTTATTTAAAATTGAGACAAATATTTTCACAAAAAGCGAAGCAGGTATAAGTTTCTGTCTATCACGCGTTGGGCATTGTTCATACGTTCTGTGTGAACATGCTCAAATAATAGTTTGCCAAAGCCATACATGACCTTTTAGTCACTTAAGCGCAATTGCCTGAACATGAGCTGGTGTTGGCAGATCCATATTAGTTCTGCTCCTAACTAGCACCACCTAGTATTGAAGTAAAGTATTCTCAGTGGTAAACGGATCATGGATTAGAATTCCATTGCCGTCGAGCTGATCGTGAGTGATTTTTGCTGTTTTAATTTTCATATACCATAAATGCGAGTTAAATCCATCAAGAAGTCCTCCACGAAGGCTAGATTATTTCAATGTTTGATCCAGAGGCTCCTTTGATTTTTGGATTAAGTTAAAACTTAAAAGGCTAAAGAGCTGGTGTATAAAACTTACAAGAAAAATATCTGTCAAACAAATTTTTTTTACAAACAGAACTTTAGCCATTCGAAGTGTTGACAAATCGAATGCAGATTTATCTTTCGTGAAAAATTTTAAAATTATTTTAAAACATGCTCTTAATTAAATTATATTAAGTCAATATCAGTACAGAAGTTATTATATTATTATAGAAGTTATGACAACAAAATGATCAGCATTCTTAGTTTCCTAAAAATTAAAATCGCCGTGCATTTTGTAAGTAAGATACTGAACAATGTTTTAAAAGCATAATTTCTTTATCGTAAACTCAAAATGTCTTTTAAGGGAAAATTTAGCAAAACGATTCACAAAAAATAATTTAAAAAAAAAATATCACTTTAAAATAAGTATCATAAGTAACTCTTTTTTTGCAAATCTGGAATTTTTGAATGAGGTTAAGTTTTAAAAATAGTTTGGAAAGTATTCTTGACGTATATCATATCAAAACCACATCAATCATGTTAAATATTGCTCATGGTATGACAGGAAGAGCATATTTGCCTTGTACTTGGTTTATCTTTCCACCTATATAAATGTATAAAACATATTACTTTTAATTAGAAAGTGAGTTTTAAAAATTTAAGTAATTTGTACTAATCGAATTGTACAAAAGTCAGGAACATTTTTATAAGATTCAAGTTGTAGTTTTATTTAGTACTTATTATTATTTTGACTGAGTTCTCAATTTTTTATTTCTTAAATTTCTTTCAGTTTTGATAACTGTGTTTCGAATTTTTCGGATTCTCTGTTTTTTTAAATGTAGATTACACTTATGTGCTTTATTATTCAACGTATAGAGTCTAAAAGATGCTATCAAGAATTCGATTCTTTACCATTTCCTTAACTAAATTTCTCTATAACATTTAATTCCCACTAATTTACTAGTTGTGACACATTTAAAATATGCTATTTAAACAAATACATACCAAAGATGTGATAAAGTAATTGTGATATTCTGTCATCATTCCAAACGTCTGAGCCTAAAAGAATATAATTAAAGATTTTACCCCTTTATAAAGAAAACATTTTGTTTCATGATTTAAGTTTGTACAGTGATTAATAAAAAAAATTATACATGGACTATAAATAAATTAAGAAAATACCGTTATTATATATTGTTTTCATAAATTATTCTACTTTTTCTTTAAATTAGATGATATTATTTTAAAAGATTACATGTTACTCTCTGCTTTTAAAATAGGTAAACAGGTTTAATTTTTTATAACGATTTAGCTTGGAGTAATGATCTCTGGAATGTTGCTTACCATTGATAAAATTTCTGTTATTTTCGACGTTGGGACATCAAGAACAACATTGGTTTCGCCTTTTTTACTGACTTCTTTGAGCAAATTTCTATAATGGAGGCCTCTTTCCAGCACCCTTAATGTTATTTTAACATCACCATCATTTGCCATCATGATAAGATGCTGCAGGCGAGGAAGTGCTAGAAAAAAAAGTAACTCCATTACAGAACCAGAAGCTTGAGAAAAATTACCTATTGACACAAGCAACTAACTTAATTTAGTAAGCTCTCATTAGAATGAATTAATTATTTAATCTCTTTTTTTTTACATATAAGGTTTTTCAAGTAATTTCAAGACAGATGGGGAATATTTTGAACTTGAATACATTTTGAAAACTTTTGATTCTCGTCTTTGCATCTACCTTAGCGTTTTGAAGAAAACCGTATCAATTAGTACTGAAAATCACATTGACCAACAATGTGCTTCTTTAAAGTAAATCATATATAAGCGAATGAAATTAAAACTCAAAGAGAAAAAATATTTCCTAATAACTCCCCATTTTTCATAAAAAAGTAAGTCTACTTTGCCAACTTTGCCATAATTCTTCTTTTTTAACAATCGTTTAGATAGGTCTATATCAGTGGTTCCTAACCTGGGGGCGATCGCCCCAAAGGGGGCGATACAGCTTCTCAAGGGGGCGATAGAGCTTCTCAAGGGGGCGATAATCCTTAGGGGGGCGATCAGGGGGCGACGAGTACTCAAAAGATAAAAATTGCTAATAATATTAATAATTAAAGCTATTTGAGATTGNTTGGTTGCTCACAAGCAACAATGAATGTTTTTTTGAGCAAAAAGAGAAAGGGGCGATAGGTGTTAGCCAACCCCAAGAGGGGGGCGATGGTTCACAAAAGGTTGGGAACCACTGGTCTATATTAACTATCAATGTATTTATGTTATTGATGACCATTTAAATGAAATTAAAACACACACTCAAGACTTCCAAAAAACGTTTAGAGTTTAAAGAAATAAAGTGCTTAGGTCTTACTAATGTTAAAACAAATAAGTTGAGTGTAAGATTTTATAAAAAGAACTAGTAAATCGTTATTATTCAAAAATTATTTTGATATGAAATATTCTTTACTATATTATAATGCCATTGTTTTTTATGACACTTTTAGAAAGCTCTCGTAATTCACTATTATATCATAATTCTGTTCAAGTACCTAATGTTTAAGTCAGAGACATTTTAACTGTATTGGTAGCAACATTAAAAATTTTTCATCATCATCCGTTTACAGGGTCTACACCTAATCTCCTACCTTCTGGCTAAACTCTAATTTGCTCCAAAATCAGAGCTTTTTAGCACCACATATTTAACATAATCCGTCTTCAAATAAATGCTCGTTGGTCTGACAAGTACTCATGCCAAATATGAGTATATTCAACTATAGATATCCCTATCTTTCTAGCAGTGAATTCTTACACTCTCAAAAATGTATTGCTTTAAAAATACTATCAATAATATCAATACTTTGAATCATGCATCGAGAAAAAAGTATGGTGAAAGCTATTAGAATATGGCAAAATTTACCTTATTTCTGACTGATTGGGAACATAAAAAGAATGACCATTTTTTAAGCAATTAATTAGAGGTTCAATTAATAATAAAGTATGTTTTATAATCTATGATAAATTTTTGTAAACATGGTAAAATTTGATGATTTTATCATGACGCTTTAGAGTATGGCATAAAAGCTATTTACTCTGTAAAATTTATTTTTGAGTATTGTATTTTATACTAAATTTATGATAATGAGAACTATAATTTTTTTAAACCTTAATTCTTGGCGATTCGTTACCTTATGAACGGAAAAATTATACCAAATGAATGGTTTAAATATCGTACATTTTGACTTTATTTGAAAATATTATGTTTTTTTATTGGAAATATTATTTCCATACAATACAATAATTTCACCTGATTTTTCCTTTTTTCTTGTACTATGAAAGAAGTATATAGCAATATAACGTAGTTAGTAAGGTAAGCCACTTATTATCAGAGTTGAACGAAAGAGGTGCCTAATCTAATGTAAGCTAGATTAAGCAGTTCATTAATTCGGTTTTACTAGGCTAAGAAAGACAGAAATCGTGCAATATTATGCTTCAAGGCGCATAAATATCACCAACAATGTTCTCCGTCTCGATGTTTTAATTTCACTTCATCGCAATCCCTGCTGTGTTTCGGTATATAATCATCAGTGCTTATTGGTTCATAGTATTAAACAAGTCTCTATCCTTGTTATTCGACTTGAGAACTGTTCATGCTGTAGCACAATTTTAACCGAAAGCTTAGCGCTTAGATAGTAATTTATTTTCCAAACAACACTCCTAAATTTCTATGGAATTTTCTCTTGAATGAAATACGTTTTGTGATGTTTACGTTCTTCATCAATGTCAATAGATTCCTGCTTAGGTCGATAACGAATGAATAGATGATAGGCAAACTTAACAAAAGCATGATAGATAACTTATAATTTGCATCGATAATTTAGTGCTTCAGTGATTTATGAAAATGAAGCAGCTATGTAGATCAGATAATCAAATAGAAATCCTTTAAATCATTCCGTTGATGAGTTTACACAAGAATCTTTTCAAATAATAATGAATTCCTCTAATTCAGAATCGAATAGCTCTGACAGTTAGCGGTGTGAGTAATGATTTAATGCTGGGAACATGCTGAGATCTTTTAGATTGCGGTTCCCTTAGAATATTTACTACTTCTTCACTCATTATTTCATTGGGAATAATTATATTGATAAATGGATTTCAAACAAACTGTAGGTTAATCACTAAACATAGTTATTTTAAAATCACGTAGAAGTTGTGTAAAAGTGTTAAAAGGGATAACATTCTGAATTTCAAAATGATGAACCGGTGATGACGCAATAAGAGTTGATTAATTATTACTGCACATCATGAATATTTTATTCGCATTACATAGTAAATGCTAATTTAGACACGTAATTATTTTTCTCAAAGAGTTCAGATGCTATTTTTAATTATCATCAATTAAATATTTAAAAACAACTATTAATTTACCTTAGCTTTCTTTTCAGTATATATTTATAGAAATAGATAGGTAGTAAAATGAAAAGCAACTAAATAATCAGTTCTTGTTTTAATTTTATGAATATTTTTTCACGTTTAATGCTAATATGATGTCTTTATTTTAATTTATTCTGTTTAATGAAGTGTGTTACAAAAATTAGTATATTAGAGTAGTTCGTAGTCCTTATTGTTACGAAAAATATTATTTTCCGTTAAACTTTAAATATTCCATAGGCATTTTTAGAAAAATCATTTTACCACAAAACTTTTCAGAAGAAGAATATTTAAAATAAAAAAATCATTTGATTATTTTTTTAAACTGAATCAAAAATAATAATTGTTTTCAATGAAAACATTATATAATATGTAAGCATAACAATTTGTGAGTATTAGATTTACAAAGAAACTGCATTTTTGTCGTTATAGCATAACATTTTCTAGCGAAATAAGCCAAAAAAATCAACAACAGATAGAAAGGACCTTTAAGCTTCAGTAGAAGATAAATTGCAATATCCAAATAAGATGCAAATAGATAATTCACATAAAATGCTATAGATATTCCAAATAGAAAACCAAATAGATAACCAAAATAAGATGCAACGCTTTTAACTTCATATTATTTTCCACAGATCAATTTCTTATTTGTAAAGTAATTGCGACTGCACCTCTTTTCAAAAACGATATTAAACCTTAACCGGTTAAAAAAAAATCAGAGATACGCATTTTGATCACGAGGAAAACTAAATGATCTGACTCCCGCATAAGAAAGTTAAGCATAAAGTTTTTCCAACTTAAAATTTGAATTCTTTTTCATTATTGAACTTGTTTGAAGATTCCGTATCAGCGTTTATGTAATTCATAACCTCAACATTAAGCATAAATAATGGGTAAAATGTAAAAATTATTAAAATTAACATTAGATTAAATATGAAAATAGGTCCCATAGATGAAACATTCAATTTAAATGTCATACGAGTTTTTTTATCATCGGAGAAATATATTAGATTATATACAACAGAGTTGACATTTTGAGAAAGACGCATTAGAGTAATTTTTATCAGACACATTTTTCCTCTCCAAGCAGATTATCTCTTTTTCTCTTGAACATTACAAAACACAAAAAATGTATGAACAATTTGTGAGTATTAGATTTACAAAGGAAATGCATTTTTGCCGTTAGAGCATAAAATTTTCCAACAAAATAAACTAAAACAAGCAACAACTGATAGGAAGGGCTCTTCAAGCTTCAGTAGAAAATAAGTCGCCACTCTGTGAGACGCATAGACGCTTTGGATAAGCAAGTTTTCTAAATCTAGGCTTTGGAAGCTTTCCAAGTAGGTTGTTAAAGTACTTTTTCTTTCTTTTGCTTCTACTGAATTTCAAAAAAAATATAGAACCATTGATTTCAAATGACATCAGAATCTGCACGAAAGAAATGTATGCGGGTAAATTCCTATTTCAGCATTCTTTTAAGCTTTTGGGTTAATGTTACGGCTTACACTTTTTCACGTCTTGAATATTTGGAATAGTTTTGATGCTAAATCTATTTTAAAGTAAAGCAGAATATATTTTCTTTCTAGACTTTCTTTTTTTTAGTTAAAGAAATGGTTTCATAGTTAAGGCACTGTTTTTTTTTCGTTTTTGAAAATAAAAAGAGCTTATCTATTGTTTTCGAGAAAATTTTTCTACTTAAGATAAAACTTATTTAGTTAAAAAATTCTTTTAAGAATCCTTGAATAAATTCTCTTTTTGGGATTTATTTCAAAGTAAAAAATAAATGCAGTTCAGTTTCTAAAATTTGGAATATAATATGTCAAAAATACATTGTCTGATAGTTAATGTTTAAAAATCATTAATAGATAAAAATAATAGTATAATATGATAATAATTAGTATAATATGAAATACAGAGTGAGAATTTTTGATGGAATGTACTGTGACAGAAACTAAGACAACCGTATATCTTTTAATTGTGAAATGTAAAATACATACACTGTAAACAAATTCCGGATCTAATTACGGTATAAAGTAAAGGGCCTTTGGGTGCCTCAACCGTAAAATCGATTTTACAATAAAATATTATACCTTGAGTTTTTACAGTAATGTATATTTAATTAGAAAGATTCGGTGATTTTAGGTTTGTTATTACAGTAAAAATTGAGGTACATTAGGTTTGTTCGGTACATAAGCATATGTTCGGGTAAATGGATTTTACGATAAAAATTACCAATAAACTGAGTGCCGCATTTTTTTCTCCGTAGTATGATGTGGAGTTTCTTACAAGTTTCTTTCAGAGAAGTTTATTTTCCTAGCTCAAAACTTTATAAGCTGATTTGAAGTTTAACTAAGAAATATTCAACGAAATAAGTCTATGTTAATCCAATAAAAAATAATAAAAACTCGGGAATTTTAAACCGAAGAATGGTGCAAAAATTTATAATTTTGCTTTATTTTCATATATTTTCCAAATAATTAAGGAAATATGCATTTTATGAACCTCATTGTTGTTGCTAGAGGTGATTAGTTTGAAATCAGTCTTTTATTGTCAGCTTAGTTAGCGGTCCCACTTGCAGACGAACTTCGCTGATAATTTTGAAATTTTGTCTATGGTCTCTTCATAGAATGCAGCTAACAGTGTATGTCTGTTTTCTTTAATTGATTTTTCAGTTTGTCGGTCCTTTTTGAGATGTCTGTTACGTTAATGGAAGTATTCTCTTCGTGGTTCTTCTGCATTCTAATAAATCAAATCCATGTTAAATATAATCAAATTTATGAATACGTCGGAAAAGAAAGATCGCCTAATGTTTCTTGCTAGACTGCGGGACTTTTTAATGTTATATATTTTATCATTTACGTCTAATACCAATACAATCGCATAATATATACTTTTTTTTTTTAAATTTTACTCAACGTATTTTGTTATTAATCGCATAAAATATTTTTTACCTTCAATTTCGATTTTGGATTAGTAATGAAACTTAACATAAAATAAATTTAGCCTAATTAATTTGATAATAATGTCAATTCGTGATAAAAAAAATACTTTACTTGTGTAAAACTCTATACGATGAACAAACTAAAAAACCAATGCAGGAATTTTACTAAACAAAAAGTGCTAATCATCAAGCATGTAGTAATGTCAAATTAAGTAACACTTACATCTGGCATCTTCGTATATGATGGTGAAAGATTTCCATCCCCTTGACATGATAATGTCCCTGTGGGCTTGACTTAAGGCACTGTCTGGTGGATGCAGATGCAGAGTGTATGAGCCATGAACCCCCTTCTTTGTTACAGTAGTAGTAGTTGGTGCTGTGCTAAGATGAGGCACATTCATAACGCTGCAAGTGGATTGGACCACAGGAAGTTTGGACGGAATATGTGGACCCACGATGGCCAAGGTACCGACGTCGATTTGTCCACAAACTGAAAAGCAAACGAGATTGCTCTTGTTCATATTATAGGAGTGAACCTTTACATAAGTTGTCTTTTTTCAAATTAAAACTACGAAGTCATTTGCGTATTCTTTATTTTAAACAGGCAAGAAGAAAGATTTATACTTTTAACCAAAATCATGTCCGTTGCCTATGTTATTGAACAAATTCAATTATATAATTCATAATGTATTTTTTATTATTTATGTTATTTTTATATTTCTTATTATATACGTATTATGCATTATAGATATTATTTTTATAATATTTTTAATATTATTAATTGAAATATTTGATTTGTTATTCATAATTTTGTATATTATTGATTAGTGTTTGGTTAAGTGATTGGTATTGATTAGTGTTTGGTATATTATAGATTAGGTTGGTTTGTTAATGTGCAAAATTTTGAGTGAGTAAAAACGATGCCACAGTGTGATGAGGTGAGGGGTAACATTAAGCATTTGCAATCAAAAAATTTTGGTTTTGGCTAATTTGTGCTAAGACTCTGTCAAATTACCTTTAGAAAAAATTGGAAATTTCCATGAATTTATTTTCAGTTTTTTTCTTACTTTTTTAAAATTTTAATGCATTTATGTTTGATTTAGAGAAAATATTGTTCATTAAGTAAGATATAAAAAAGCTGTTTCAATTCCTGTTTTTTATTTAAAAGAGTACGTACAAAAACTAGTAAGTGTGCATTTAAATGCTATACTTTTCCTTATTTTAATATTATTGACATGAAAAAGATGACTGAGTTCGTTGCAATAAAGGCTAAACAATATAGTTGCATTTATATGAAATAATATATAGAATATAATTCATGTTTTATTTTACTTGGTAATTTTTACCATCCACGCTTAATGTTTATTTTTAAAACTTTTGTCAAAAATAAAATCAGAACAGAATGCGCATTAGCGATCCTAAATTTAAATTTTAGATGAGGAAGAGGAAAAAGGAAGCGCTTTTGAAATTTTTTATATCACTGCCGAGGATCTCAAGAATACTTCGATTGCCGATAAACTTAGATGTGTTCCTAATATTCGCCATCCGAATTCTCTCTGTCTTCTGAGTGTCAAACAAGCTTTGAAAGTTTTACTACTACCATCCTTAACAGTTATTGGTGGGATATGAATGGTTCTTTTGTCCATTTTCGCTTATATGTGTGTTTTCTGATTTTTTTTCTGTTTTCATTTTTTTTAAATTGTTTCGAAAACNAACAATGCCACAGTGTGACGAGGTGAGGGGTAACATTAAGCATTTGCATACACAAAATTTTGGTTTTGGGTAATTTGAGCTAAGACTCTTTCAAATTTCCTTTTAGGAAAAATTGGATTCCAAGAATTAATTTTCAGTTTTTTTCTCATTTTTTAAAATTTTAATGCATTTATGTTTGTTTTAGAGAAAATATTGTTCTTTAAATAAGATATAAAAGAACTGTTTCTATTCCTGTTTTTTATTTAAAACAGTACGTATAAAAACTAGTGAGTGTGCATTTAAATGTTATACTTTTCCTAATTTTAATATTATTGACATGAAAAAGGTGACAGAGTTCGTTGCCTTAAAAGCTAAGCAATATAGTTGCATTTATATGAAATAGTATATAGAATATAATTCATGTTTTATTTTACTTGGAAATTTTTAACATCCACGCTTAATGTTTATTTTTAAAACTTTTGTCGAAAGTAAAATCAGAACAGAATGCGCATTAGCGATCCTAAATTTAAATTTTAGATGAGGAAGAGGAAAAAGGAAGCGCTTTTGAAATTTTTTATATCACTGCCGAGGATCTCAAGAATACTTCGATTGCCGATAAACTTAGATGTGTTCCTAATATTCGCCATCCGAATTCTCTCTGTCTTCTGAGTGTCAAACAAGCTTTGAAAGTTTTACTACTACCATCCTTAATGGTTATTGGTGGGATATGAATGGTTCTTTTGTCCATTTTCGCTTATAGGTGTGTTTTCTGATTTTTTTCTGTTTAATTTTTTTGAGATTGTTTCTAAAACATACATAAAAGATCATTACGGTTAATACTGCGTACTTTTTCGTTTCAGCAATCCTACAATATCACTTTTGCACATTCTAAATCTTACTTAGTTTAAAATAATCCTATATTTTAAATTTAGAGGCCATTTTGTGTCTTTTTCATTGTTTTTATATCTCAATCATAATAAAACGGTCCTTTTATCCATAAAAAATATAACATGTAAACTATCTTGCAAAATTATTATTTGACTTATTTAAGTGCGAGAGATTATACTAGTCAGTGTTTTCTCAACAAAAATCACATTATCTTGATACATCTTAATAAAAGGAACTAATAGTTTTTTTATTACATTTCTAGATTCTAAACTATTTATAAGGAGTCAAGTGAGGTAAATATGGCAATGGGGTAATTGTGATCAGCTTGCTGTTCACAATGACTGTGCAAATTAAAAATTTAAAAATATGCATTTAGTATAGTTTAATTTATTTTACTTTGTTTCACAAATCTTTAAATAGTTGATAAATAAAATACTGATACAATATTAAAATAGTTTTAAAAGTATATGGAAAGTTTTGAAAAAAAAGTATTAGCGGTAGTCGATTTAATGTGATATAAATAGTTTATAACTAAGCACTTGACATTTATTTTTATTTTTAATCATTGTGTCTCCATTTTAAAGATTATTTGTTAAAAGTATATGATAAATATTACCCCGATTTTTGGCTGATTTTAACCATGTGGAATGCTTACTCAAAATGAATGACTTTCACGCTGCTCTATTTAAAAAAAAAAGCCTAAAGCATTCACAAAAAAGATGCCTTCTCCTTTTTATTTCTTAAATCTGATGTTGCCATGGTGATGTAGAGACCTCAGAGTCAGAAATAAGCTAGATGAAAACATGGCGTAGCAGAATATAACAATCCATCTTATGGAAAAGTTAACTCAGAGAATCAAAGAGCTCGTGGTCTAACCCCTAAATTAAATTTTCTTAACAATTAAAGAAGATCTGGAACTTGTGGAATGTTTGATGACTATATCCAAATTTGGTTATATTTCTGACAGGGAAGAAACTGTGCATCTTGTTGAACCATCGTGTTAAAGAGAAATCTATTTCCAAGGTATTAGAGAATGAAAAATCTAGAGGAAGATGGGTATCTAGGCATTAGGGAGAAACATCTTTGCTTGTCTTTGGAAAAAGCAGAGCACCTTTAATCATTGTTCCAACCTAACACTTTTCCAGAAAGTTTCAGCAATTTTAACCATAAAGACAAGAATCAAAAGTGGTGTATGAGAAGGAAAAACTAATATTATCAGAAAAAGCCCACTTTGTATTCTATATAAATAATGAGGGTTCAATTATAGCCCTGAAATGTGCATGGCGAGAGCAAAAGTCAGAAGTGTCAGACCATGAGTCAATTACAGTTCTAAAATGTGTATCAACTGGTGGTCATGACCTTGCCATAAAAAATCCACGTAAGCAATTCAGAAAGTCTATTTTTCGCTACATTACTAAAGAGTTAAAAAACACTCCATAACCTTTAAAACATTTAATTAGACGTGAACGGGTTCTAAATGATAAAAAAAAGTCAATAGTGGTCATAGTTTCCCCTAACTGCTCCTACGTCAGATATTTACGCCTTAATATAAATGTGCTTACCTTTTTTGCCAACATGAAAATTATCGTTTGGTTGTATTCTAACTATGTGAGCTGATAGTCTTATTCTGGGTAAGATTGTCTTGTTGCCGTTTAGTTTGTCTATCGCATATCTCATATGCTTTTCTGAGTCCGTGTCTTTGCCTTCAAAGAGACCAACTAAAACATAAACAAGAAAAAAAATCAATTAGCTTGAAAACAGGTATAATTCAATTGTCTTACGACTAGTCTTCATGTAAAAAATGTATGCAATAATTACAAGGTAAAAAAATATAAAGCATTTTTTTCACTTTTTCAATTCTCCAGCTATTATTTTTTTCCTACCCTGTTTCAGTCTTAATTTTACCCCAATGAATTTGTATTCATCTCGTACGTATTTTCGAACACATCTTCTATCTGTTTTGGTTTGCAATGTTAATTTAGTAAAATTATTATAATTATTAGTATACATATTTAGTATATATATTTGGTAAAATAAATAAATAAGCAAAATATATAATATAAAATTAAAATAAATTGAAAGCAACTACAAAACCTTTCAAACTTCACTTTGGAAATAAACTATCAAAAAATTACAAAAAAATATTATTAAAAAAAATTGATCGCCGCAAGGTGATCACTGGTTACCCATTGGAAAAATGGTTGTTGTCTAATTTTTTTCGGAAAAGCAACTTTATTCTGTTTTCATCTTGGACATCTTTAACTGTTAATCCTGAACTGCTCTGTAAACAATTTCGCAAATATATTTCACTGCAGCTCAGGCGCATTCTGTGTAAATTCTTTTGATGACTGAATAGACATTGAACAACCAATCGAGATCAATATTAACATTTTCGGATTGGTACATGTCATTGTACATGTCATTGAGTACGTGGGCAATGGATCCTTTTATTTCTAATTGGTGATCGATACCCAGTTCTCGTATTTGCATGAAAGAGGTTCGCAGAGTCACCATTTGCTCTTCGGTAGGGTTCATCTCTCTCAACCACTTTGGTACTTTTGTGAGGGACGGGCTTCATGCTTGCATTTGCGAACGGAATCCTTTCGTTTTTCTGTTTGTGTTTCGTTAAGGTATTTCCGCCTGCGTTCTTTGGCTTTTTCAGCCTCGGTAAGTTTAGGCCTTGGCATCATTTTTTTCTGGCTTCAGTGGCCAAATTTGGGACAGTGCCGATCAGTTTGGACCCTCTTTATTTGTAATATTCACCTGAATTAGTATTGAAAAATATCCAGTTTGAACTGTAGGTTAGAATTTCTAATTCTTAATTAAAATAATAAAAACAAAAATATCGTTCAAACGATGAAATTCTCTTTTATTCACAACTCAAAAAGTATTCATGGGATCTCTCTGGTCCCATATCTCAAAAATGAACTCACCACCTTAATGCATAACACAATTAAAAGTGAAAAAGAGAATTCTAAAGCAAATATCAATCAGCAGCGGTCACTATAGTAACGCATTAATGCCGACGCATGGTTACTGTTTACTATTACTCTGTTGTGTTACTAAACTTCCTGTATTATAATTACAGAAACTGAATTATGCAATTATAATCAATTATTAGTATACATATTTAGTACTTATAGATTGTACTTATAGATTAGAAAAGTACTTCAGATATTAAATAATTATGGTTATTCATTCATTTTAGCAGAATTATATATTTAATAAGGATGGAAGAAGTTAGGTAAAAACAACCTTGAATATGATAAAACTTGCTGTGTTTCCAGCTTTTTGGGAACTCTTCACTTTTTTTGTAACGCTTTCGGTAAAATTAAAAATAAAAAATACTGTTATAATATGCGATAAAATTTAATAATGTTATCATGATACCTTAAAACATGGCATAAGAACCATTCATTCGGTTCAATTTACTCTTCAGTTTTGTATTTTTTGCTAAATGCATGATTAAAAGAACTATAATTTTGAAAACTAGAGTTTCCAGTAAACCGTTATATTATGAATGGAAAAATTAGCTTATTAATGGTTTGAAAACCGTATATTTTGGTTTCTATTACCAGATTTTTGGACTTTATTTCCGGAAATATTATCACAATTCAGTTGGGTACTCTTAAATGAATATTTTTTCTATGAATAAGGTCTGATTATTCAACAGCATAAATTTAATCATTTTACGTATTTTTTGTAATGTAACAATTACATAATTTCAAGGACCTGGCTTAGATTAGCTCTAAACCTGGTCCTTGAATAAATCTTACCACAACATCTTATCTGTGAAAGTGTTACTTCTAAACTAGATAATTCAAAACTCATCCAAAAAAATTCAATTTAAAAACTTATTCAAAATACCGTTATTAAAATGCACATGATTTATTGATACGAGAACTTATACATTGTCAAATATATTTCAAAATAAAAATTTATAGGTTTTTCTTGTTTGAAGAATTTTCTCGAGAGCAAACTTAATTTATTAGAATAATGAACACAAAGTTACAACCGGGAGGACGCGCCTCCTGAACGAATGTTAAGAGGTGTAGGGCCTTGGAATAATCCCAAATGAAATTTATTGATACGCTGCCGAAAAACGTTACATTTCTACCTAAAATTTAACACTTGGGTTGACTATTGAAACTTTTATTAACTATTACTATTACTATTATATTAACTATTTGAAACTTTTTACCATTCTTTTTGTGATAAAATTTAACAAAATATGATAATATTTACTTCTGATATAATTGCTATATAAATGATTACATTGTACTTGATATTTTTGCTTTAATATTAACGTGAATAAACATTTTTTACCTTTGTATAATTTCTTAGGACAATAAATGCAAACAGAAATTATCTTTCTTGAGAAAAAATAAAAATATGGACAATATTAAACTTTTAGTTGATCTTAATTTATCTATTGCAGGTAACAACAACTGTTTAATATCTGAACTTGTAGTTCATCATTCAAACTCTGATTGACAAAAAATATGCTGATGTCAATCACTAATATGTGGCATAGCGATGCAGTTTTTATATACAATTTATACATTTTATACACAGTTAGTGTATTTTTGCTAGATAGCAAATAGTTCTTGTGCTCATTGCGATTTAGTAAACCAGAAGAAATAGCGTTAATCGGGGACGAAAAATCATGGAATAAACTTATTCACAACAAGAAATAAACTAATTTGTAGAAAAAAACGGAAAGACACGTGGGATATTTCTATGATTCTAGTAACTGATAAAACGTCTATTGAGGGAGGAGAAATGCCGAAAATAACTTAAAAATTATTCAGAAAAAGCAGATAAAGCAGAAAAACTTATTTGTAAATAAAAAGGGATGATCAATTGTCTAGTATTCTAGGAATGGGTATTTATAAATAGCATGGGGTCCTAAAATGACCCCCGCGAGGATTTCCGGGTTAAACCAGATTTTAACATTAATCATAAATTTAAACATATATTATAGAGCACCAATTTTATCTTTAGTGTTTAATAGAGTCAAATAATTTCTGAAAAACTTTTAAAGCATGCAATTCTTAAGCCGTTTTTTATGTGTGGCAATTTTCTTCGCAATCTACAAAAATTTGTGTAGTTATATATTTCAGATATTACAAGAACAAAATGTTTGCTTCCTATAAAAATCTTAGCGTATTAAAATTTAACTTCAAAAGTTCACTTCAGATCAAAAGTAAAAATGTCTTATTGGTGAGAAATACTTCTTCAAACTAAATGGCAGTTCCATTAATCCTAAAAGTAATAAATGTCTTGTGATAATTTATGAAGTTGAAGGTATGCATTGTTGAGTTTTTCTATTGAGACGGTCATGAAAATATTTATGAGATTATAAAACTTTCTTGTGAAAAAAACCCTCTCTCGCTCTGACATATTTTATACCAAATAAGAAGCTTATGAAATAGTTATCCATTCGTTATGAATCAATTTAATAAATAAGTTTGCACAGCATTTTACCTCTAAATTATTTATATTTTACGTTTAAATTACTCTTTAAACCTAAATTATGCTTATATCTAAGATTACAAAGGATTAAGAGTAATATTTTAAGGGAAAAAAAAGCATTATGTAATAGAAGAAATTATAAAGACGTGTTTAACAAAATGTCTAGTATTCTAGGAATATGTATTTATCAATAGCATGGGATCCACAAAAAACAACTATAAAAACACAAAAAAACTTAAAAGATGGAACAATAATTAAGAAAAATATAACATTACTAATATATATTTAAATTTATAATTTTATTAATACGTTATAGATTAATTAGTGTTGCATTCAGAACAGTAAGAAATTATTATTTTATTATAACATTTTATTTAAAAGGGCTTTGGATTCATAAGTACCGAAATCAAACATTTTTATGTAAATAAATAGCTTTCAATACAGAAATTTATGGTATTGTTGAGGTTTATTTGAGATTGTTTTGAGGTGTCAAAGTTGATTTGAGGTTTATTCGATGTTGATTAAAAAAAAACCTTAAAGGAATAACTTCTCAAGGTGCATAATCTAGGTGTATGAAATTGTTTTATTCGCACTTAAGGTTGTTTTGAGCAACTAGCTTAGGGAGGTTATTTTTGCAGTGCATGGATTATTTTTTCTACACTTCAAGCAATTTTGCATATTTGAGGTGTGGATAATTTCACTCGTTCTAAATTAATTATTTCTGAGTCATATATGAGGTTGATTTAGGGACGTGTAATTGAGGTTTAAGTTTAGGTTTATTAATGAGATTGTTTTTGGTGCAAAATATAACCTTATTTTCCACCTCACGTGTTTTTTTACGTCTGTCAACCTCAAAACAAACACAAGAACACCTTATTTTTCTGTAAGGGTTAATACTGAAGCCAGATGCTACTTAAAGATTAGCTACTACAACTTCAGAAGGAGCAAGCATTCAATAGATTAAATCAAAACTCTGAAAAGTTTTCATCATGCATCTTATGAATTGTGAAAAATAGTTTTTTTATTATGATACGAAGCAAAATAGCGTCTGTAGAGATTCTTTGACTAACTTTTTGAAGAGCATATAGTTAAAGCGGAAGCCGCTTTTCATGCAGTTAAAGCAAGCAAAAGCAGTATAAATGTTTTTGATCTAAAATTTATTTAACAAAAATATGTTTTAAAAGAGCAATTGAGTTCCGAAACAAAATACGAAGGAATTCATAATTATAAAAAATGTGGAATC